TACATAGTACCATTGGTTAAATCACTTGTCATCACAACCAAGTTTCTTGGGCCAGTCTTAGTGGCATGTTCCTTCAGTTTCAGCATTTGAGAGGCGGAGGCAGGCAGATTTCTGAGAATTCAAAGCTAGCCTGGTCTCCGTAGCAAGTTCCAGGTGGACAGAGCTACATACCCAGTCTCAGGAAAAAAAAAAAAAAAAAAGTGGCAGCATCTTGGACAGACTTTTTATAATCTTCCCTAGTACAGGGATTGAACCCAGGGCCCATACCACTGACCCACCTCTACACTTTATTACTTTTATTCTAGGTGAACTATAATATTCATGATTTTCAAATGTCTAAACTGCTTACCTGGCAACTTAATGTCTTCCTCTCCAAACAGGAGCCCGCACCACACCTGGCGTTGGCTAATCTAAGGACTCTAAGGCACCATAACATAAGCCAGCATTTCCTGAGATTCGGTTGCGCTGTGTGGTGTCCTTAGAACACTGAACGGAGTGACTGCCTCACATTGCCATGTGGAGCCCCTGAGACTCCCAAGGAGAAGGTGGAACTAGCTAGCATGCCTAGGTTGGTAGGACATTCAAAATTCCATACACAGCTGATAGAGCTAACTGTGGTAAATCCCGGCCTTCCAATTCTCACCACATTCTTACCCTGACTTTTGGATAGTCTCAAATGCCTGCCTGTTAAGTTGAGAGTGCCATATGAACTTGATTTATTTTTATTTTTAAAAGATTTAGATTTAGTTATTAATTTGTACATGTGACTGTTTTGTTTGCATGTATGTGTATGTACCATGTGTTTGCCTGGTACCCTGACAGGTCAGAAGAGGATGACAGATCCCCTGGGATTGGAGTTACAGACAGTTGTGAACCATCATGTGGGTCCTCAGCAAGAGCAATTGCTCTTATCTTCAGAGCCATCTCTCCAGCCCCTACAATGTTAATAATTTTAAAAACACACCTAACTAAGCCTGGCAGTGGTGGTGCTCACCTTTAATCTCAGCACTTCAGATCTCTGTGAGTTCAAGGCCAGCTTGGTTTATATATTGAGTTCCAGGACAGCCAGGATTGTTACAGGGAAAAACTGTCTCAAAAAACAAACAAACAAAACAGACCTAAATAGCCTGAGAAAAATGGTGACTTCAGCCAGTAGTAATAACGGATGCCTATAATACCATAACTACTTAACAGAGGCAAGAAATATGCAAGTTCTAGGCCAGCCTGAGCAACCTAGTGACTTTCCTTCTGCCAGAAAAGGAAAGAGGTAAAGGTGGAGCTCAGTTGGGCTGCTGCCCCACTAAATGTGAGGCCTGGAGACCAGTCCTAGCACTGCAGCTGGAGACCTAGTTCCAGGACAGTCTCCAAAGCATGTGCACGCACACGCACACACGCACACACATGCACACACACTTGAGTCTGTTTTTTGTTGACTGTGCTGTGTATATATGGTTTCCAGACTGATGACTATATATTGGTAAGAGCCCTTGACTAGGCTATGTGCTTGCTCTCCGGAGCAAGGCCAGGTGCCATGCAGCTGGTGGTTAGGGCTAGGATACCGCTACAATGTAACCTTTCCTAGGGTAGACTGACAGCTGACTTCCTGGTGTGCTGGCTCTTAAAAATCTTTGAGCCCCCTCATCTAGGATGCTCCTGAGGTGTAGATGTACCCATTGGCCTGGGTCCCCCCATCTGCTGACCTTTATGTTGTGTCCATTGTGGTTTTCTGTGACGCCCTCCATTTTCGGTAAAGGGAAGCTTCTTTGATGGGGGTGATGCTGAACTTAGCGGGCACAGACAGCAGCTCAAGAACCAGGAGGAATCTGTGGGCCATTTGTCTGGAGTGAGGCCTATGGGCAAAGAGATTAGTGGTGAGGTGTAATTTTGTTTTTGAGACAGGGTCTCACTGCAACCTTTCCTGTCCCGGAACTATGTATACTGTTATGGAATAAAATATTTGTTTAACTAAGTAAAGATGTATTACATTTGTTTGTTGCAGAATAATTATTTAACTATGTAAAGATGTGTTACTGTTTCACAATGCCTGCCTGAGGCACCTGCCTAATTAAAAGCTGAACCGGGTGCAGAGAGAAAAAAGGGGAGCCAGCCAGGGGACAGACAGACAGACTGGGAGGAAAGCAGGGATGGACAGTATGTAGATGAGGTAAATGAGCTTTGGGGCAGCGCATAAATTAATAGAAATGAGTTAATTAAAGTTAATATAAAATTTAAGGTACTTTAAGAAAAACTAGGCAGAGACAGAGCCTAAGCTAAGGCAGAGCATTCATAATTGATGATGGGTCTCTGTGTCCTGATTTAGGGGCTGGTGGTCCAGGAAGGCCTGCTATAGTAGCAGATCAGATTGACCTAGAACTCACAGAGATCTACCAGCCTCTACCTCCTAGATGTCGAAGGCCTGGCCCGGTTTAAATATTCTTGCCACTTATTTATTTATTTACTTTTGTGTGGTGCCAGGAATTAAATCCAGGGTCTCATATATGACAAGTGACTGCTCTACCACTGAGCTATACCCCCTAACCCTACCCAGGGCTTGTTTCTGCTTGCCTGCATTTTCTTTCTGTAACAAAAGTATCTACACCTTAAAGAGGGAATGCAGGAGGGGCATGGTGACAAGTCTACAATCCCAGCTCTGTAGAAGCTAAGGCAAATCATCAGTTCTGGGCCAGCCTGGACTACATAGTGGGTTCCAGGCTAGCCTAGGCTACATGTCTCAAAATCCCTAAGAACGGAACAGGAAGATGGCTCAGTAGGAAAAGCGGATTGTCGTGTAAGAATGGGGACCTAAAGTTAAAGTCTAGGAACCCACATACAAGCTGATTAATGCAAGCTACTGTAACCACGGTACTGCTACCTGGGGGATGGGAGGTGGACATGGGAGAGTCTCTGCAAGTTGAGAGCCCAGCTAGCCTGGTTTAAATGGGGAGAAAATAACAGAGACCCTGTCCTCAGCAAGGTGGGAGGGGCCAGCAGTGGTGGTGCGCACCTTCAATCCCAGCCAAAGCAGGGGGGCCCTGTGAGTTCCAGGACGGCCAGGGTTACAGCGTGAGAGAGACCCTGGCTCAAACAAAAGCAAGGTCAGCAACTGGGGCTAGTGACCTCTGACCTATGCAAACACTGGGGCACATGCATGAACACACATCCAACACGTATGAAAATTTTTAACTTTTAGGAAACGGAAATCTATGGTTGCTGTACAGCAATATAATAATTGACGTGCAAGCCAGGCCCTGGGTTCAAGCTTGAGAAACTTCAAGAAAGAGAACAGAGAAGGTTGCCAGGCAGTGGTGGCACAGGCCTTTAATCCCAGCACTCAGGAGACAGATGCAGGTAGATCTCTGTGTGTTCAAAGCCAGCCTGGTCTACAAAGCTACACAGAGAAAACCTGTCTCAAAAAAAAAAAAAAAAAAAAAAAAAAAAAACAGAAAAAGAGAACAGACAAAGCTCATTTGCTTTTCTAGGCAATTTGTATAATTGGATGCCACTCTGCAATCTGACTCCACAGAACTAGCATGAAAACATGTACTTCCCATCTCAATAATACCTATATAACCCTCCATGGGTGCACAATGAGGCTAACCCTTTGATACCAGGAGTGGGGAGCACAGGAGATTAGAACTCAGAAGACACAGTGCCTGGAGTGTCTGAGGCCCCGGGTTCCATCTCCAACTGAAACAACATCCATACTCAGCCCCCAGCTGTAGGATGTAACCCTTAGGCTCCAAGCCCTTCACTCACACCCAGCTTCCTGGCTCCTCAGACTGTCAGAGGCCTGTGTGTAAGCTATTGGCCAGGCTCCTGGGCTCAGGAATGCTGCACTGCCTTTAATAGCTGTCTGAACAGTCCTTTTATGGGCAATAGGCAGTTGCCTGGGTACCTGCATGTTTTCGTCCTTAGGATCTGTGCTTAACCGTGCAGACCCTGAAATTTAGACCAGATGCATTATCAGGAAAAGGAGGTGAGCTTCCTGGGTGGAAGAAGAAAGCCTGAAATTCAGGTTTCAGAAATGGAGTAAAGCAAAATGTCTCCTGCCAAAGCTGTGTCAACCTAGCAGCTCAAGGATGACGGGATTGGCAAGGCCTGAGGCTGGAATGCTTTCAGAAAGGACATCGGGGACAATTAATTAGCAAACACCAATGTTTCTCCACACTTCCCTGAAGCTAAGCAAGCAAAACTCACATACGTCCTCCAAGTGTAGACTCCTTTTCCTGGAGTTGCATTTACATACACACATTCAGACCCTATCACATTGCCACTCAAAGAACTGTGACTGCTAAATGGCTCCATCTCCAGCTTTTTTAGGCACTCCCCTGACGGACCGTGAGCCACTGGGCCACCCAGAGGCCTGGGAGCCTGGGCCTGCCTTCCCCAGCAGACCGGCTCCTACCCTAGGTAGCCTGAAGGAACCTGACTCGGAAAGTAAAACTACTACTTCTATGCTGAGTAAACTTGACTGCTGACGCGCTTTGAACTCAGGCTTGAGCACAGTGGCGCGCCTTCCTGGAATCTGGCCCGGTTTTTCTTAAACGAGCCAAAACAAAACAACAACAGAAACAAGGAAACACTTATACTTGTTCGTGCTTAGGTGCTGAATTGTGCAAATAGTACTTTTGAAATCTGACGAAGTCAAGTAGCTACCCCTAGAGCCAATGGAACTAAAGCAGGGTCATCACACCCAGAAGTCCTGGGTTTCCAGGGGCGCAATAGGGAATCTGGAACCCAAGGAGTGAGTACGAATTCGGGCGCTGAGCTCGCCTCTTCGGGCCTCGCTCTGCAAACCGCTGGGCTGGAGAGGGGATAGCACACCTAGGAGCCCACACTTGTCACCCGTCCTTCCCAACTGAGCGTCAGCGGAGGCGGTTGGAAGCCCCGGAAGGGCGGTAAGGGAGCAGGCGTAGGCAGCGGAGACTCAATCGGCAACACAGGGGACAAAGGGTTAAGGGGGCGTGGCCTGTGCCGCTCCGCCCTGGCAGACCCCGCCTACAGAGGCCGCGGCTGGCGTGCGTATTTATAGAGGCGGTGCCGGGCTGGCCGGGGCGTCGCTGTGCCCGCTGTCGCGCGTCATGGAGCGGCCGGCGCCCTTGGCCGTGCTGCCCTTCTCCGATCCCGCGCACGCCCTGAGCCTGCTGCGCGGCTTGAGCCAGCTGCGCGCCGAGCGCAAGTTCCTGGATGTAACCCTGGAGGCAGCGGGCGGCCGCGACTTCCCGGCGCACCGCGCTGTGCTGGCGGCCGCTAGCCCTTACTTCCGCGCCATGTTCGCGGGCCAGCTGCGCGAGAGCCGCGCCGAGCGCGTGCGCCTGCACGGGGTACCGCCCGACATGCTGCAGCTGCTGCTGGACTTCAGTTACACTGGCAGAGTGGCCGTGAGCGGCGACAACGCCGAGCCGCTCCTGCGCGCCGCGGACCTGCTGCAGTTCCCCGCCGTGAAGGAGGCGTGCGGCGCCTTCCTGCAGCAGCAGCTCGACCTGGCCAACTGCCTGGACATGCAGGACTTCGCCGAGGCCTTCAGCTGCTCGGGGCTGGCTAGCGCGGCACAGCGCTTCATCCTGCGCCACGTGGGCGAGCTGGGCGCCGAGCAGCTGGAGAGGCTGCCGCTGGCCCGCCTGCTGCGCTACCTGCGCGACGACGGGCTGTGCGTGCCCAAGGAGGAGGCGGCCTACCAGCTGGCGCTGCGCTGGGTACGCGCGGACCCGCCGCGCCGCGCGGCGCACTGGCCGCAGCTGCTGGAGGCCGTGCGCCTGCCCTTCGTGCGCCGCTTCTACCTGCTGGCACACGTGGAGGCCGAGCCACTGGTGGCCCGCTGCCCGCCTTGCCTGCGCCTGCTGCGCGAGGCCCGCGACTTCCAGGCGGCACGCTACGACCGGCACGATCGCGGGCCCTGCCCCCGCATGCGTCCGCGTCCGTCCACCGGCCTAGCGGAGATCCTGGTGCTGGTGGGGGGTTGCGACCAGGACTGCGACGAGTTGGTCACAGTCGACTGCTACAATCCGCAGACGGGCCAGTGGCGCTACCTGGCCGAGTTCCCCGACCACTTAGGTGGGGGTTACAGTATCGTGGCACTGGGCAACGACATCTACGTAACGGGTGAGTGCGCGGGTGCGGGGGGGGGGCTTTTCAAGAGAGAGACTCGGGACCTGGAATCCCAGGCCCCGACCTAGCCCCTTGGCAGGGACTGCGTTAGTTTTTGCATTTGCTTTGTGGGCCTCCGTGCCCTACGTGGGAAGTCTGCCTTGCTTAGCCAACTCCTCGCCCCGGAGGTGCCTCCCCCTTTTGGGTTGGAAGAGACCCGGCATTGACCTGGCACAATGGGTGCTTTCTTTTAATCCCCAAGGAATGCGGGACAGGCTGCAGGCTGGCGCCTGATGAGGCATCTCTCCCTCCCCAAAGCGGGGACATTTCCCCCTCCCTGCTAAACCACAAGCAGGGGCCCCCTGACTCACTGGCTTTGTCACCAGTGACAAGGTTTCTTAGAACCCGTACCTAGGCGGTGCACTGTGGATCACATGGTGTTTAGGCTGCCCTCGTCCGCGACTGTAAACATGGTCACGTGTTGAGAGATTTTCTTCCAGTTACTTGGCTGAAACCCCAAAACACTGCCGAGTCACTGTAGGCGGGGCCCCAGCCTGCCCGGTGCGGGTGCCGGCTTCTCCCACGTTTTCTCACTAGGGATGTGTCCCTGATCAAACGGAAGGGAGGAGGGCTGGCTACGTCCTCCTCCAGGCCAACATGGATGGCCTCTGGAACTGCTGCTATTTAAGGGAAGACCCCTGGGGCCCGTGTCCTTCAGCGTTATCAGGCTGGCAGGCTTGTCACAGGGACTGTGCTCCACGCTCCTGAGAGCTCACCCTGCCCTTCCTGTGGCGGGCTGGTGGGCCTCAGAGCACGAGATGGGACACAGGCTGTCTCGGGGACAGCCTCAATTCTGGCCTCGCCTCCAGAACTGGGCGCTAAATTCATACCTGTCAGAATCTGGCCGCCTTTAGCGACCTGAGGCTGGCCTGTGGCGTTTGGGGCCCCGCCCTTGCCACCCTGCCCCCATCTCCTCTGGCTGGTGGCTTTCATCTGAGAACACCCTCCCCGAACTGGCCAGACTCGCCCTTGAGTAAGTGTCCCCCAGCCGATTCCCATTCGGGTGTAGGCAGGTGGCTCTGACATTCCCTTCAGCTGCTGACGGGGGATTTTCCTGTGGTGCCAGGAAGCTGTTTCAACTGCTCCACAGTGTCCCTGGAAAAAAGGTGCCTGAGACTCTCCCCTCAAAAGCTCTGGGCTGAGGGACACACAGAATGTCTGCCCTGTTCAGAACACCAGCCAGGAAAACCAAGGGGACACAACCCCGGATTCCTGGAGTCTCATACCACGAATATTCCATGGTCTTAGACCTAGTTTACAATGTTACTATTTTTTTTTTTTTTTTTAGACTTTTGTTTTTGTATTTTTTGTTTTTCAAGACAGGGTTTCTCTGTATTGCTTCGGAGCTTGCCTCTGCCTCCCAAGTGCTAGGACTAAAGGCCTGTGCCATCAATGCCCAGCTTAGACTTTTGTTGACATAAACAAAAAAAATCAATGTCGGCCACACTTTGTACCTTAATAAGAGTTTCAAGTGAACATGCGCTGCCCTCCACTACAGTCAAAACGAGAGCTCCAGAGGTGTGTGACAGCATGGCTTGCTGTGTTCGGTCTTTTGGGGGCTAGTGAGGGTTTCCTTTCATCTTGTCTTGGCACAGTCTTGGTTTGAAAGTTTCCAGAAAATCTAGAATTTAGTGGCCAAATCCCATGTGTCTACCCAGAGGAGCTGTTCAGACACAAAACTGGACGGTCTGAATTAGTTAAGTGTGATGGTGTTGGATGGGAAAAACCTAAGGCTATGTGGAGGAGGGTAGTTTTGTTTTGTTTTTTATTATTTTATATTATTTTATTTTTTGTTTTTTGAAACAAGGTTTCTGTGTGTATCCCTGGCCATCCTGGACCAGGCTGGCCGGGACCTCAAAGATTCACCTGTCTCTGCTTCCTGAGTGCTTGGATTAAAAGTATGCAGTACCAACACCCGGCTTTCTTTTATTTTCTAATGTATAAGTGTTTTGCATGTATGTAGTTTGCACCATGTTCATACCTGGTGCCCACAGAGGCCAGAAGAAGGCATCATGTCCCTCAGGACAGGTGTCAGAGATGGCTGTGAGCTGCCATGTGGATGCTGGGAATTGAACCCAGGCCCTCTGAGAGAGCAGCCAGTGCTCCCCACCCTTATTTTGTTTCTTGGGATGGGGTCTCATGTAGCCTAGAGCTGGAATTACAGGCATGTCACTCTTAGGAGAGCAAACCCAGGGTTCATGAGTGCTATGCTAAGCATCCCACCAGCTCAGCTGTATCTGCAGTCTAGGACTGTTGAGAAAGGCATCTTTGGCCTTGATTTGACAGTGATTAGTGGGCCAGTTCCCTTCTCAGTGACAGTGACAGCTTGGCGAGGCCAGAGGAAGACAAGTGTATTTTGTGTGAAGGGAGTGAGGCTAATTCCTCTGCAGGGAGAGGCCTACCCGGAAGTCCAAGACGGCACAGGTGGGTGACTCACTTGGCGTGGGCTGACGATCTGCCCTTGGTGTGCCCTGACAGGCGGGTCTGATGGCTCCCGGCTCTATGACTGCGTGTGGAGATACAACTCGAGTGTGAACGAGTGGACGGAGGTATCACCCATGCTCAAGGCCAGAGAGTACCACAGCTCTTCTGTCCTGGACGGGCTCCTGTATGTGGTGGCAGCCGACAGCACAGAGCGCTATGACCATGCCTCCGACTCCTGGGAGGCCCTGCAGCCCATGACCTACCCCATGGACAACTGCTCTACCACGGCCTGCCGAGGCCGGCTCTACGCCATTGGCTCCCTGGCAGGCAAGGAGACCATGGTGATCCAGTGCTATGACCCGGACGCTGACCTGTGGTCCCTGGTGGACTGTGGCCAGCTTCCACCCTGGTCCTTTGCGCCCAAGACTGTGACCCTGAATGGACTCATGTACTTCGTCAGGTGAGTCCCTGGGAGCACCGTTTTTGGCTCGGCATCCCTGTGCTGCCATTTTATAGATGAGGAAAGGAAGCCTAAGCTGAGTTAGGAGGCGGGGCCTTGTCCCACCCCTTAGACCATTTCTGTGGGCTTCTAGGTGTTCTTAATCAAGCTACCTCAAGGATAGTGGAGTCTTGGCAGTGCCTCGATAAGCAGCCGGTGGGTTGCGTGCACCCGCCAGCCACACGTGCAGCGTGCGTGTGTCTGAATGAGGCGGAGGTAGATGTCTCAGCTCTACCCTAGCCCCGTCCGTTGGTTTTGATGACCTGTCACAGTCAAATGTGCCTTGACTGGCTGGCTACTGAACATTTGGAAGGGCAATGGGATTCCCTTTGTACTGTATGTGTGTATACATGTGCACATGCGTGTGCATTCACTGCTCCCTCCCTGGTCTGTGAGACTTGGAGGGATGGAGGTAGGAAATGGTGGATGACAGTCCCTCCCCTCCGTCTGCTTTTGGTCTGGCCTTTGATCTGGGAGCCCAAAGGTGTGTGCCTTGGGCCTGTGTTTTCTCTGGCTGAGCAGCACTGACCTTTGCCTGCCCTGCCCCCAAAATAGACCACCGGTCTTCAGGGCGAGCTCTGAGGAGCCGAAAAGGAACATAAATGTCATTGCTTATCCTCTAAGAACCTGAGGGGCCTGGTGTCTTTAAATGCCAGGACCTGGAGGTCTGCTTAAGAATGCCCTGGAAACTTCCTCAGCCTGGGTTCTGTTATAAAACTGCCTTGGTGCCTCCCTAGTTCACCCTACCTCCCATGGTGCCTTCAAGAAGGGGGAGGGGCTGGCTATAAATATAGCTCTGAGGAGAGCCAGGTCTTTGCTTCAGCCCCTCTGTAGTGGCTGCTGGCCCAGCACCTTTGAGATTGCCATTCCTGTCTTGAGGTCCTAGGGCAGGATCCTGACACCTGTTGGCTCCTTCTGGACAGTAGTCTTGCTAGCTATCCAAGTGGACGTGGGAAGGTTTTGGCCAGTCTGTAGTTTGCTTATTTATGTGCCATCCACACAGGAAGCCACGTGAGCCCCACCTGAATGCCTGGATATCCATGACCAATAAAAGGAGTTGCTGTGCTAGGCCGCCTTCTGTGCAATGCCTCCGAGTTGGTTTCTGGAAAGGGCCAAGGTGTTGTCTATGGCTGGGAAATAGCATCCTTGAAGAGAGGAGACAGGGAGCCCTGTCCAGCTCAGCCCCTTCCAGCTGTGGCTCTTTGGTCTCTGCTGCAAAGAAGGCAGAAAGTATAGTGATAACTCAGCGGGTTCAAAGCCAGTCTGGGCCACCAACCAAGACCTCATCTTAAAGATACGCATACAGGTGCCCCAGCAACGCTCGGGTCCCACCCTTCACAGCCAGGGTGTGCTGCTCTTGTCTGACTGGCTGTCTTTCCTTCTGTTCCTTCTGTAGAGATGACTCCGCCGAGGTGGATGTATACAACCCTACAAAGAATGAATGGGACACGATCCCGCCTATGAATCAGGTAAATCTGCAGGCGTGCCAGTGTTTGTAAGTGCAGGCTGCTCCTGCTTCTGCAGATTGAACTGTCATTAAGATAGTGTTTGGAACACAGTCATGGTGGGCGGGGCCTGTAGTTAGTCCTCTCCAGGTGTTTTCTGAGTTAGTAGAGGCTGGTGTAACCCTCATTACATCTGAAACTGCCGGTACCAGATGTTAAGTAGGATCTCAAGTCCAGGCTAGTGGCCACTGCAACCAAGAGCAGAAGGAAGTGAGGGCTCGCTCCAGAGAAGTTTCTATGGAGACAGCACTTGTAGAGGCCCCAGGGCTAGTGTGTTTGTGTGGACACCAGCAGCCATTGTGGCTAGAGGGAATGGGCTCAGACAGGTGTCTGGGAACTACCCACCCCTGCTACTTCCTGAGGAATTGACCCTGGGAATACATTTACTGGACACATGCCATGTGCCATGAATTGGTGTCATCTGGTTAGGGTCTCTTATCTTTGCTCCCTGAGAAGGGGTAATGACTCTTGGAGTCTCCGGATAGCATCCAAGCAGGTTTGGTTCGCTGCTGTCCTTCCCCCTCCCCCCAATACTTTCTCCTATCCATAATATACAAAGAATGGATAAGCGTACCCTAAGGGGCTATTGCAGGGATGCTGGGGGTGGCTCACACCTGGAGACCATGCTGACCACATAGGGAGCCCCATTTTCCTGTTTGGGGATCAGGAAGGCATTGGCTTATTCTGTCTACACTCCTCCTAGAAACTGGCTGGCTTGAGGATGGTTCTCAGTGCTGTGGTTATGATGTGCTAGGCTGTTGCCTGGAAGTTACTAGAGCAATCAGGGAGGGAGGTGCACCCTGCCATGGATTCCTGCCTCTCACTCCCCCCCCCCCCCCGCCTTGACCTGCAGGTACATGTCGGGGGCAGCCTGGCCGTCCTGGGAGGCAAGCTCTATGTCTCTGGGGGATATGACAATACATTTGAACTCTCGGACGTGGTAGAGGCGTATGACCCAGAGACCCGGGCGTGGAGTGTGGTGGGGCGGCTTCCAGAGCCCACCTTCTGGCACGGCAGCGTGAGCATCTTCCGCCAGTTCATGCCACAGACACCAGCGGGGGGCCGCGGCTTTGAGCTGAACAGTGGCAGCGATGACATGGATGCAGGCCGCCTGAGGCTGCCACAGAACCCCGATGGGCTGCACTAGCCCAGGCCTGGCCCAAGAGAGGGCCTTGGTGCAGGGGCCTGGCACCTGCAGAGGGATGGCCTCTGCTTTTTGCACAGGATGGGTCACCGAGCAGAGCAAGTGGTTCATGGGTGCTGGGTGAGCCCCTAGATGCGTCGTGTGGAAGGGTTCTGTGCCTATGTCAGAGCTTCTAGGGACGAAGCAGGTGGTGACCTGTGTGGGCCAGAGCCAGCGGCTTCTCCGCCATCATGAGAAGTCACCTCCGGCTTGTAACATCCAAGTCACCATGCAGTGTGTCTTTTCCTTGCTGCCACCTCCTGGGCCTGCTTGATCCCAGAGCAGAGGGCAAGGGTCCCTGGGACACTGGGGACCCCGGAAGACAAAGGCTACACTTCAAGGCTAAACCCCACACCTAGTACCAGGGCTCCCCGTAGCCAATGCTAAAGCTCCAAGGGATGTCAGGTCACCCAGCTTTGCACCTCTGCTGGGGTCCCCCCCCCCACACACACACACACAGTATAGGCTTTCAGGTTTCCAGAACTGACTGAGCTGTGGCTTAATAGTACACGCTCTCACTCGGCCAGGAGACTCTCTCCCTGACTTTCCTGGGAGCTCTGTCTCAAACCTGCAGAGGCCAGGCTGGGGGAGATGGGCACCGTTCATAAAGCTGGATTGCTGTGCGTCCGGGAGTCTCACTGACAGACACTTGGCTAAGTGGACAGATGCTGGGCCTGGGAATAAAGACTCCTGCCTCTAAAGTGAAGCCTAGTGGAGTGGCGCCAGCACTTGGTTGTAGGTTTAAAATGTTTGTGGTTTGAACTTGAAAAGAAATAGAGTTGAGAGAAGAGACAAGTGGCTCTGGCTTGAAGATGAGGTACAGGTCATCGTTAGGAATTTCCCACCATTGTGTGGAAAGCTTAGGGTTCCGGAGCTCAAGCCCAGGTGTGGAGGACCAGGACATCTGAGCCCAGGTGGCAGGGGAAGCTGCCTTAGTGTCCCAGGTGCCTGTGCGCTTCCTGTCTGTTGCCGCGCACGGCAGATGCCATCCTGTTGTTCTGAAGTGCTGTGCTGGGTACCTGACCCTGGGAAGGAGGACTGAGTGAGTATGGGCCAGTGCTGCCCCGAGCCCGGGCCCACCGGTGTCTTAGGCTCCTGTGGGGCGTGTGGCTGCAGTTGGTTTTGTCCCCTGGTGCTGTCAGCCCAGCCCTCTAGTGCCTTTCCTTAGTGAGCCTTAAAGAGCTGCCAGCCAGAGGTGCTGGTACTCTGTGGGGTCTTTGACATGGCAGGGCGGGTTTCGGGGACTCCGTGCTGCGGGAAGTGTGCTATTCGGTCCACTTGTGGACATGTCTCGGGCCGTCAGGTCCTCTTGGGGACCGGCTAGGAGGCTGCCCAGAGGAAGTGCTTTGTCCGTCGCTGCAGGCTCCCGTGACCTGCGGCGGTCACTGCATTAAAATGTGCGCTTGCACAGGGCGCCTCTGCCCACCCGTGCTTCGAGCTACTCAGGGTTTCACGTCACGACCCATACTTGGGTTTATACGACTAAGGATAGTGCACAGTAGGGCACTCCCTGTGGACCCACTGGGAGTCCAGGACAGGCCCTGCCTCACCTTCGCCTTTGCCACGGGCTCTGGGTTTCAACCCCGCCACTTGACACGTCTCGACACTAGCGGATTAAAACCGGGCTGCTTTGGGTATGGGATTGTTGTCCCTGTCACATGTAAAAAACTTTTATATGTCAGGATAAAATTAAGTTATGAAAAGTTCTGTGCCTGGTATCTGATGCTGATCTATAAGGGATTGCTTGTATTTATGACATCAGAGACTTATATAATGAAGGTCGCCTTAGGTGACCAGCTCTGTCACACCAGTGGCTGGGGCAGACTTGTATATTTATTTTTGTCTACTCTATAGGCTTTTATGTCCAACATTCTAAGGTTTTAGGATGCTCCCTACTTTTTGAAATAAAATGTTTCCTATATGCTGGGAGTCTTGGCTTTCATTTTCTTTTGTTTTTCCAGACACTATGTAGCTCTGGCTGTGCTGGAACTCGCTCTGTAGACCAGGCTGGCCTCAAATTCACAGAGATCCACTTGCCTCTGCCTCCCGGGTCCTGGGACTAAAGGTGTGCGCCACCCTCGCCCAGCTGGTCTTCATCTTGCTGTCTGTCTCTGGAAATGTGCAGAGGCCAGCACGGGTGTAGGAGGCGGGTCTGGGCGGCAGAGTGAATGCTGGTCAGCAGGTGGAGGAGGTAGTTTGGGGAGCCGAGCATCACAGAGCCTTTCGGGCCCTTTCTCCCTCAGAAGGGAGGCTGGCTCCTGCCCACAGTAAAGTGGACCTTGGCCTAGGAGGGCATTTTTAGAGCAGTGGTTCTTAACCTGAGGGTCGTGACGCCCAAAGGCCATCAGAGAACCGATATTTGCAATATAATTTGTAACAGCAAAATTACAGTTATGAAGTAGCAGCGAAAATAGTTTTATGGTTGGGGTCCAACCGTTAGGAACTGTATTAAAGGGTTGCAGCATTAGGAAGGTTGAGAACTGCTGCTCTACAGGTTTCCAAACAGGCTGAGAGACCCTCCCTGAGCCTTCAGTCTGGACCACTCTCCTCCCCCCAGAGCCTATCCAAACCCAGGGGAAGCCAATGCCTGGGCTGGAAACAGGCTAGGATCCCTGAGGATAGACTGAGGGTCTCACCGTGCTAAATGCTTTACCTTTGAGCCGCACCGCCAACCCTGTGCCCATGTAAGTGTCTTCAGAGTAGATCTGCAGCTGCTTATGGCCTGTATTGGCAAATCTGGGATACGTGGAACTGCACATTGCCTCTCCCTCAGCTGCTAAGGCCAGGGAATGAAAGGGAGGCAGTGGCTGTGCTAGTTTCTGAGGGAAGCCTCCCAATGCCACAGGAATTAGTGTGTATGTAGGGGCAGGGGTGTGGCAGCTCCTAGAACAAGGGGATTAGGCAAAGCCTGACTGGAGCTTCTGGGGCCATGAACATCCCTGGCCCAGCCTGCGTGGTGGGTTGTTCCATTGTGACCGTATTTCATAACCCTGCCAGGTTACCAGGAAGTAAGTACCGGTGACCACTTCCCCGGCTGGGACATAGGAAAGTCTCGTGCTTCTGATTGGGGGGATATTGGAGATATGCTTCCATGCTGAGGGGGCCCCCAGCTTCCGGGAACCCAGGCCCAAGCTACGTCTGTGCTAACAGGCTGAGCAGGCCTCTTAGACCAGTCCCGGGTAATTTGGCAGGGGTTCCTCACCCAGTGGGTGAGCTTTCTCGGTACTTGTCCTGGACGCATGAGCAGGGCTGGCCCACTTAGACGCATCTGCAGCACCAGTGACCCATGCACCCAGGTCTGGAAGAGGTGGGACCCGTGCCCCTTCCCACTCAATGTCTGGACCAAGATTGGGTCCTTGTAAGGGATGGGTCCCTCTATGGGCATGCAGCTCCTCAAAGCCAGCTTGCCTGGCCGCCACCTGCCATGTTCAACTCTGTTGGACTGGCTTAGCTCTGGCCAGTGAAGCCATGACCATGGGCCCTGGACACTTTGCCTATGTTCAGAGTTTCAGCCCACGCCCGGCCTTACCTACACTACGCTAAATAGGGACACTACCCATTGGCATGGAGGAGTGAGGGGCAGGGTTACGGAGCGAGTGGATGCCACCTCCATTCCCGCCATAACTCAGGCTTTGCTGAGGTTACCAGAGCTGGGGAAGCAGCTGCGCTCGGGTCAAGGACGGGGTGGGTAGGTAGGTCGAGGGGATGACTGGGGGACGCCCTTCAGTTTAGTCCAGGCCCATAGTTCCAAACCTCAAGCAACAGACCACTCAACAAGGGGATGCAAAGTCGCGTGTTTATTGTAGAGGGGACCGACTAGCGGGGTCTATGAGTCACAGTCCTCAGGAACAGCAGCTGTGATGATGAGGGAAGGTTCCAGGACACTGGGGCTGGCACAGCTCTCCGCACAGAGTCTCTGGCTAGGGAGCTGGGAGGCAAGGCCACCCTGGGTCAGGGACTCCACGATGACCTCCGCAGAGCCCATCTCCAGGTCTGCAGGTGGCTGGAGGGCCACCACCACCACCTTCTCATCCTCAATGACGAGGTTTCGGAGCTTGCGCTGCCGTGGATTGTAGTTCTCCACTCTATCGTGGATCTCCATGTGCCTCCGCAGGTGAGCCTGGGGGATGGGAAGTTCAGGGCTGGGGACAATGGGGGAGGGGAGCAGGCGACCCCGGGCCTGGCGGGCCTGGCCTACCTGCCGAGTGAACTTGTAGCCACATTCAGTGCACTCGAACTTCCTTACGCCCTTGTGTCGTCTGACGTGCACGCGTAACTGTTCCACGGCTGCGGGAGGAACGCGGCCAGGGGCATTAGGAGGAGGGACCGTGGCCGGGGCAGCACAGAGCCGGGAGACAGGGCATCCCAGGGCCGAAGGGACAGGAGGCGGCACTTGACAGGTCTCCCCCACTCCAGGCCCTGCAGCGCCACACGGGGGCCACGTTGCCCAGGTGCAGGGCGCCCTGCCCCCACCTCCACTCGGCTCCCATCTCAGCACCCGGAGTCAGAACACTGCTGGCTGGAAGGTTCTGCGGAACACTGGGAAGCCAGCGCTGCCCCGCAGGAAAGGGAGGCCACACACAGCTTGCCCCTTCCTTACCTTTGAAGGTCTTGCCACAGATCTGACAGAAGTGAGGCCTGCCCTCCTGGTGGCGACTGGCCACGTGTCTCAGCAGGGGCCCCTTCTCAGTGAAGCGCTGCTCACAGAACTCACACCTGAAAGGCCTCTCCCCCGTGTGGGTGCGGTTGTGCTTGTCCAGACTGGCTGTGGGGGACGGGGTGGGGCTCAGTTGCTGGTCTGAGCCCCGTGGAAGGAGCGGAAGGAGGGGCCGGGCCTGCCTCACCTTGGGTGCGGAAGGTCTTGCCACAGAGGTGGCACTGGAAAGGCTTCTCGCCCGTGTGTGTGCGGAGGTGCATGTTGAGGTTGGCCTTCTGGGTGAAAGCGTGGCTGCAGAACTCGCAGACATAAGGTCTTTCATTCCTGTGGAGAGGGAGACACACTGGAGGCCATCACGGGGAGGCCATCCCCTTTCAGTCACCTGTTAGAGCCTGGGCGCTTCCAGCAGAGGAGAGGAGGGAGTCAGGAAGGGGAGGGAGAGACGCGCCTGTGCCCGAGCCCTCCCCACTAGCCTAACAAACCTGCCTGCCTCTCACCCCACCCCAGAAGGGCTGCAGGCGCCAGACTCTGGAAGAAAGAAAGCGCTCACCCTCTGTGCAGATGCTGCGCGCAGCGGGGCCACACTCCCGGGGGCGGGGCCACACTCCCGGGGCGGGGCCACACTCCCGAAGGGGCGGGGCTCATACCTGTGCTTGGCCTTGATGTGCATCTGCAGACCGTTGCGGCTCGAGGCCCGGTGCCCACACTCCTCGCACACAAACAGCTTTTCTCCTCGGTGCTTAAAAGCCTCGTGCAGCTGCAGTTCCGTCCTAGACAGGAAGCACTTGGCACAAGCGGGGCACTGCAGGCAGTGAGACGGGCAGAGGGAGCGGCGCCAGTGAGGGCGGGGCGGGGCCGCCCAGGAGCCTCAGGTGCCCCGCCCCGTCTGGCACTTACTGCGTGGGGCTTAGGGGCTCCGTGCAGCTTGATCATGTGGCTCTGTAAGTCCTTCTTCTGCATGAACTGCTGGGAGCAGGAGGAACACTGAAACAAGAGGCCCAGTGAGCCCCAGCACAGCCTGCACCGTCAGCGGCCAGGTCACCGCGAAGGAGGGCCTAACCCAGATGCCTGGGCAGTCCCCAGAGGGGCAATGCTCAGCCATCGTACCAGGCCCAGAGAAATGCTGAGCAGCAACAGCAGAGACAGTGGCCCTGTGTGTATGGTGTCACTGGATGGACAAGGGAGGCAGGCACGCTTCGAGGGTCCACATCCCCACCCAGCCCATGGCCCTGGGGACCAGCTGGCCTGACCTTGTAGGGCATTTCCCCCGTGTGAGACACCATGTGCACCCGCAGCTCCATCCTCCGGCGGAATGTCTCCTGGCACACGGAGCACGTGAAGACCTGGCAGTGTGAGGGCAAGCAGGGCCAGCGTCAGGGAGGGCCTCTGCCTGGGACGGCAGCCTCTGCAGGGCTTCCACACGCTGCTGGGAAGTGTCTGCCTGGGGTAGGGGATGCTGGGGTAGGAGAGGGCGACATGTGACCCGCCTGCCTTAGCCATGGCAGAGCACTGTATACTACCACTCGCCAGACCCTTCTCGTCTCCAGTCTGGAGACGGGCCCGCTGCTACTGGTCAGTCTCTAGGAAGGGGACCCAGCTGCTCCTGGTCAGTCTCTAGGAAGGGAAGGGTGGGTTCAGCCACACTATCCACTGGGTCGGGGGACATGCAAGGCAGCCCTTCCCGGCAGCCATCCCCCACAAACACTCTCCTTGCTCCAAAGCCCAAGATGGAGCTAATCCAGAACATTCCTGTAGGGCTTATCCCCTGTGCCCTCTGAACAAGGGTCCCAACTTGTACTAGGTTGTGTGTGATGGCACCTAAGGCCCCTGCAGCTCTCATTTCATAGCCCTGTAGCATTCCCGGGGTCCTTCCCGGATGACATGAGGACACCGGCCACTGGGCTGCTGCCCACAAATACCTGGCCCAACTCCCAAGTACCTGTTCTGAGCGGTTCATGCAGTTCCGGGCTTCGTGTTCCAAGAGGTTCTCCTTGCGAAAGTAACACTTGCCACATTTGGGACACTCAAAGGGTTTCTCCCCAGTGTGTTTCCTGCCGAGAGGAGAGGCCACGGTGTGGAGGCCAAGAGGCTATCCCACCCCTGCTACAGACCTATGCTGTGGTGCGTAGGTGTCCTGAGGCCCGTCAGGGCTCACCGTGGAGGATCGCTGGCACCTAGGTTGGACATGCAGGGGGAAGGCCAGAAATCCCCTCCAGCATAGAGACCCTCAAGAAGAGAAGAAACAGTACCCATGGAGGGACAGGTATGAGGGGTGTGTGTGCTGTGTGAGTGTGTGCTGTGTGTATGAGTGTGTGTTTGGTGTGTGTATGAATATGTGGTGTGTGTTTGTGTGGTGTGTGTGTGCTATATGTATGAGTGTGTTGTGTATGTGTGTGTGTGTGTGTGTGTGTGTGTGCAGCCAGGCCTATTCCGCCAGCCTGGCTCCATGGGTGTGTGCGTTAGCGCTGAGTGGCGCAGCCTGGGTGAAGTCCTCTCTGTGGGCCCCGCTCTCAGCAACATGGCAGAGGATCCCAGTTCAATCCCTAAGACCCACGTGGTGACAGAGAAACCACTCCCACAAGTTGTACTCTGACTTCTAACCCACCCCCATGAGTAAACCAATGACTGTAAGACAGGGTCACCAGACTCTGCTCACTTCCTCACTGACAGCACAGATCTGGCTGCAGCTCTTGGGGTCCCTACAGCTCTGCAGGTCCCGTTGCCTTCAGAAGCCTTTGGAGATAAGGCAGCCCTCATTTCCCCTGGGCTCACAGCCCTCCAGTGCTTCCCATTTCAGACTAGGAGGACATGGGTGGCCTGAGTGAACTCGACAGCCCCTCACTGGCCGTGACCTAAAGTCTGCTCTCACCCCTCATACCAGCCATGCTTACTTCAAGCCCAGAACATTACTGCTAGCTCTGTTCCCAGCAGGAGGCTCTCCCCAGTGAATGGCTCCCTTACCTTCCAGCCTAGGCAGAATGTATCCCAGCTACTTGTTTTAGATCCGTGCCCGCAACACACACACCAGCACAGGGAATGAACCAAGGGCTCATTGTTAGGCAAGTACAGGAAGACTGAGCTATACCCCCAGCCCATTCCCAACTACTCCAGGCAGAGGCAGAAGGATCACCAGCTCCAGGCCAGCCTGGGTAATTTAGTAAGGCCCATTTCACTGACAAAGGGCTAGGGATGTAGCTTTGTGGCAGAGGAGCAATGCAGGCCACAGGGTAGGGGGGACTCCCCACCTTAAGAGTCCCCAGGTGACAGTTCTAGGGAACTGACCCTATGTAGTAGAACTCCGAAACCAATTCCTGCGCCCCCGCTCTCCTACCCCCCCTCCAAACACAGCTCTCACACTCTGTAACCCCCTGGCCTGGACCTCACAGGAGGTGCCAGACTGCAGGAGTGAGCCAGCAACTCAGGCTCAGGCTGAAGTCTGCCTCATTCCAAATCACAGCTTCCTCTCTTCTGAGGGCCACAAAGGCCTTGGTTTGGCTCTAAGGGCTCATCAGTCCTATCACCCATCTGGCAGTTTGCTGAAGGAACTAAACCCTGATCCCAGAGTACCCACAAGCCCAGCTTCCTCTCTTCCTCTTCACTCCAGCTGTCCTCTCCCTTCTGTCCCTGCCTGGCAAACACCTCATTTTCTATTTTTCTTTTGAGACACAGTCTCCCGATGTCCTCCTGGCTAGACTAACACTCACTACACAGCCTCAAACTCCCAGCAGATCCTCCTGCCTCTACTTTCCAAGCTGCCACATCTAGATACAGTAATCTTGACGCCACTCCCTCCCAGTTCCTCGGGGACATTAGCAAACCACAGGCCAAGGACGAAGTGGATGGAACATGGGCACCTCCTGAGCAGCCTCTGCAACCTCAAAGCCAAGGCACAGGGAAGGCAAACTCACTCCAGGTGAGCACTAGCAGATCCCCAGAATGCCGTACTGACAGCACAGTGGGACTCAACACAACCTGGCTTAGTATAAAAACTGTCACATGGCTACCGAGCACTTGAGATGTGACTTGTGTCTGTGGCACTGAATCGTATTTTAAGCAATTTGAACTTAAAACAAGCCAGGTGTGGTGGTGCACACCTTTGATCCCAGCACTCTGGGGGCAAAAGCAGGTAGATCTCTGTGTTCCTTGCCAGCCAAGACTATATTAAGACCCTATTTAAAAAACAAAACAAGCCAGGCAGTGGTGGCACACACCTTTAATCTCAGCACTCGGAAGGCAGAGGCAGGCAGATCTCTATGAGTTCGAGGCCAGCCTGGTCTACATAAGTTTGGGTTACATAGTATAAGGTCTTAAAAAAAAAATTAAAAAAAAACTAAATAGGGAAGAACTCCACAGTTGTATGAGGGTCCCAGTTAGACAAATAGTCTTCTTACTCCAAGAGCTAATGGGTACGTCTTCTCTTAACTCCCAGAGCTAATGTCCCCAGGGACACAGGCAGCCTCTTGCCACAGCCTTCATTGCCATCAGAAAGTCCTACAGTCAGACCTCAGCTCCCGCTCAGCAAGAAGCCAGAGGTTTGTCTCTGTCTCCTGGGCAGAAGCGTCCCCAGAGTCAAAGGCCACAGTGAGGAGAACATACTGTTCGGGTGTCCACAAACCCACCATGCACAGGAAACATGCCAACAGAGGCCAGAGCAGGGGCGTACGGGGCAGAAGGGCAGACGGGAAAAGAAAACAGGAAAAGAGCGTTTACCTGTTGTGGACCTTTAGGTAGTATTTGCTGAGGAACTTTTTATGACACGTGGGACATTCAGCTGGCACTGCTGGTCCTTTTCTGCTCTCCATAGGCTCTGCCGCCAGGGACGCTGCACCGAGGGCTGGCTCCGCAGCACCGGGCTTTCCGGTTACTTTTGACTTCTGCCTGGTCAGCACAGTCTCAGGCTCAGAACCTGAATCACCTTCCCCGTTGTCCTCAACTTGAACCACCGCTTCCCACTAGAGCAGAGGAGGCGGAGGGGGGGGTCACCAAAGGGCCAGCAGTATCTTCAGAGACCCAGCTTTAGTTCCAGCCCAAGCCCCATCCCACATGGTCCCCTTTCTTCAGGGGCCCAGAGGAGACCACATGTGAATCTTGGCGTCAGAGGAAAGGGGCTGTTGCCAGGGAGCTGGCCGGGTCTCACTACCCCAGGGGGACACCTGTGACCTGATGCTCACTCCACCCCTGGGAAGGTGGTGACCATGGCTGAGTGTACCGGTCAGCCCAGGCCACTGGCTCCCCATGTTTAAACTCCAGAAGTGCCCCGCTTTACCCTGACCTTGCCTGTCCAGTCCCTGCACCCTGCAGCAGTACCTTGTTGCTCTCGCTCTGCAACGGGGCACCTCCAGCCTGGAAGGGCCCCGGAGGCCCTTTGCAGTCCTCAGACCCTTTGTCCTCTGAGGGGCAAGGCTTCAGAGCCTGCTTGAGTTTCCCACAGAGGAAGGACGGGCTGCCCTGAGCAGGGGGATTGAGCTGGGGCTGCTGACAATCTCTGGACCCCTGATCCCCAGGGGTCAAGTTTAGAGTCCTGAAGACTTCCCCCTCGTCCAAGTCTGTTGGCTCCTTGAGGTGGCTTTTCACATCCTGGGAGGCTGGCTGACCCTGTCCACTCTGGACACTTGGTGACTGTCCTGCCTGTCCCGATGAGGTTCTGGGCTGGAAGCTCTGACACAGCTCCACAGCCTCCGGCACCCGCAACTCCTTGGCTGCCAAGAGCACCTGATCCCTGTTCCCTGAGGTGAGGGCGAGGTGACCGGTGTAGAAAAAGTCCAGGAGCAGGCCAAAAATCTCAGCAAAACCTGCAGGAAGGATAACACTGCCTCCTGAGCCGTCCCCATAGATTCTCTGGAAGAAATGGCTGCAACAGGCCAGCACACTCCAGTGTGCCTTGAACACCAGGCCCCCCACGTCCAGCGTGGCGTCACAGTATTGGCCCTTCTCCCGCTGCTTGTTGAGTTCCTGCAGAACCCGCACGCTGTGCTGCACGAAGGAACCGTCCATAATCTGGAAAGGAAGACAAAACGACTCTCTGGCCAGCCCTTTAACAGGGTCCACCTATGTAGGGATCAAGGGCTGGGTCAAGGTTAGGAGGTGCAGGCGGAGCACAGCCAGAGTGGAGTGACAGCCTCCTCAGAGGCGGGGAGTGGCATGGGCTGCCCAGAAGGGAGAGCGCGGAGCGGGAGAGCATGGTGCAGGACGGGGCAGGGTCGGGGCAGGGTGCTAGTGAGGAAAAAAAATTAAAATGCAAATTTGGGGATAGACAAGAGTGAACGCGCACTGATCGGCCTCACACCCGAGGCACAGCCAGCGGGGCAGGCCGGCGGCTGCGCACAGGTGACCCAAGCCCACGCCGCGCCTGCAGGTCGCGGGGCGGCTGGCCGGCTCCCTCCCCGCGCCCTCCTCACCCGGCCGGTCCTCCCCGGCTCGCGCCGGCCGCTCTGCTCCGGGACAGACCACTTCCACCGCCCACAAGAAACTACTGCCCGGCCCACTGCGCGGAGACGCCGCCGTCGCCACGCCGGATGTGACGCTGGGGGCGCGCGGGCCAGAACCGGACGCCGTGGGGGCGAAGGACTCTTATTTTCCCCGCCCCGAGGGCGGGGCCTCAGAGGAAGACCAATGGGCCGCGCAGGGGGCGGGGCCTGATCCGAATCCGACGGCGCCGGGGCTCATTACCGGAGTCGCCTAGCAACGTCAAGCAGAGCGCTGGGCTGCGGCTCCCGCCAAGTGATGCGCGGTCCCAAGTCCCCTCCCCGCCCCCCCACGACCGGAAGCGCAGCCAGGAAGCCACACACACAATTCACGTCTTTATTAGGCGGGGTTCTTCTGTGTACCTACACGGCTGAGCTCTCCCAGACACCTAAAGCCCTCCGCCGCGCTGGATCTGCCACTTTGAGGACGAGAAGAGAGGCTTCGGGCCTGCCCCGCCCCCGGGATCAGGTAGAGCCGCTACGCCTCGTGTAGTCCAGAATGGAGGCCTGAAAGTGTTCTGTGTTGTTGAGGTCTGGACGGCAGAGAATCACATAGCACTTGGGGAGGAAGTAGCCGCTGAAGCCGCCACTCAGAGTGGTCAGCCCGGCCACCACATAGACCGCGGGCAAGTAGCTGCCCTGGTAAATAGTGGAAGTGGTGAAGAAGGCGATCCAGGATACGAAGTTGAGGAGCAGGCTGAAGGTGACACATTTGGCTTCGTTATAGTTCTCTGGCAGTTCCTTACCCAGGTAGCTGCAGGCAAAGGCGCTGATGGAGAGGAGGGTGTTGTGGGTGAACGCCAGCAAGAAGCCCAAAGAGTTGACCTCTGTGCACTCGAGAATCACCAGATGGGGGAAGCGCTGGTATTCCCTGGTGGGCAGTGGGGTCCACATTGCAAGCCATATGACACAGATGAGCAAGTGGACCGTGGAGCTGGCAACGACAAACAGGCCAGCACCGTGGTTTTGGGCCCAAGTGTGGTAGAATGTGGGTACCTTGGTGGAAAACTTGAAGATGACCACCAGTTGGAAGGAGCGGACTGTCAGGCAGGAGAGGAAGATGGCGAAACCGAGGGAAAAGAGCGGCTGGCGCAGCAAGCATGTGAGCACCGTGGGCTCCCCGAAGAAGCCATAGAAGCTGCAACTCCCACCAGCCAGGGAAGCCAGCATGAGGTAGCACAGCCTGCCCCCAGCTGACCTCACGACAGGCGTGTGAAGATGCCTTGCAAACAGGCCAGTGGTTCCGACCAGCAGCAGCAGCAGTAGTGTGTTAGCTGTTAATAGCGCCAGAGAGATGGGCTCCTGCCAACCCAAGAACTCCACGGTGCGCGAGAAGCAGGTGGAGCTCCCCTCCGGCGCCCACTCTTCTCTTCCACAAGGCTGGCAGACGTGGAGATCTGAAAGGAAGGAGCCAGGTGAGGAGGAGGAGAAGGAAGAGGAGGATTGGGGAGGCGGGTCCAGCTCGGTTGGTCGGTCATTCAGGCCCTCCAGTGGCTGGGACAGCTGCACCTTGGCAGGCAGCATTTGGGACCCGTAATGAGAGGGGAAGCCTAGAACAGCTACTAAGCACAGCCTCAAAAGGTCTGTTTTGTGAGGCTCAGGGTCCCAAGGGGGGGGGGGTTGGCAAACACAGAGAGCTTTGTGCTGTGGTCAGAGCGACCAGCTTTAAAGATAAGACGTGTTTGCCTATCCCTTCGCCATTTCCATCAACCAGATCCACCCGCTGGGCGTCTACTCCATGAGTCCTGACTCTCCCATCACCACAGAGATATCAAAAGGAAGGAGGTGTCCCCTGGTGTCTGAGCTCCGAGCCATTAGCCCCTGCTGTGCTTTCTGCCCTTCCCTTTGAGTCACTGGCTTCCTTCTGCTGCCGACATGCCAGAATCTACCATATAGGCGCTGACCCCTTGACGCAAGGAAGGGACTTCATACAAGCCGAATAGCACAAGTCAGATAGTGGTATCTCTTTGGATAAAGAGGTTGAACTTAGGACTAGATTCATTTGTGGAAGCTGGGGGGCTGGGGCTGGGGGTGCTCTGAAAGAGGGCACGCCTAGGTCTGAGACTTCCAGGTGGTGCAGTCAGAGTCCAGCCTAGCGGCAAGTGTCCTTCAACCTGTATCCTATTGGCAGGCCAGCAAACAAGAGCCTTGGTTTGTACATGAAGTTTCTGTCCCGCCAGGGCCCCACAGCCATTCGGCCCCAAACAAACACACAGAGGCTTCTATTAATTATAAACTGTTTGGCCAATGGCTCAGGTTTCTTATTGGCTAGCTCTCTCTTAATTATTAACCCATTTCTATTACTCTAAGTATTTCCACATGGTCTTATCTTACTGGAGAAGGGTCCGGACCTGTTACTCCTTCCTCTACTACATGGTATCTCCTCTTGGCTTCCAATAATTCTCCTGCCTATCCTTCCAGCCCGGCTACTGGCCAATCAGTAGTTTATTCATCAGCCAATAAGAGAAACACATATACAGAAGGACGTCCCCCATCACTGGCTCTGGGTCACTCACTGTTCACTCACCACTCTTGTTGAGAAAGGTCCCAGCCTCACAGGGCATGCACTCAAAGCAACAATGGTGAGAGCCCACAATCACTCTGTGGTACCCGTCAAGACAGTCTGTGGTACACACAGACATAGGTGCCTGTAAGAAGCCACAGTGGTTTGCAGTCACACAGAGGAGCCCGTCCGGTGACAGCTCGCACGAGGCACAGGGAAAAGATCTCAGCACCTCTGCCTCTAGGCTCATGCTCAGAGCAGAGCCCTGGGAGTGGCTGTTTGATAACACATGGAAACTCCTGTCCTTGGCAGACCTGAGTGGTTGCCGGACATCTGGCGCCTCCTCCCGCTCTGGGTAGGTGTCACTCACTCCCCAGGCTCCCGGGAACATAAAGCCGTCTTTGGTAATGACCATATCCCCATTACCTGATTGTTCTTCCCATGCCACTGGATTTTTGTCTTATTTATGTGCAGCTGAGACATTGAAGCAGAGCCAATGACCTCAAAGGTCCATTTGGTCCCATTCCAGTCCCAGGAGATGATGTCATAGTCACCCAGAGGATCCCCGCTGCCATCGAATGCCACTGTATCCTTATGTAGAAGGAAATGCACCTTGTAGAGCTCCTGCAGAAGCTGCGACAGACAGATGTCATAGACCACACAGACTCAGGCAGCCCAGGAAGCAAGTGAGGCTCTCTTGTGTTTCTGCCCTGAGTGGCTCCAACCCACCTGTAAGGCCTGGTTCCTTCCTCAGCAGTCTGTTCCCACTCCCAGGGATCCCCTTCACCCCTGACCATCCTCCTGAGAGCACTAATAAAAGACTGTTTTTTGTTTGTTTGTTTTTGTTTTTCGAGACAGGTTTACTCTGTATTGCTTTAGAGCCTTCCTGGAACTAGCTCCTGTAGACTAGGCTGACCTTGAACTCTCAGAGATCCGCCTGCCTCTGCCTCCCAAGTGCTGGGACTAAAGGCGTGCACCACCAATGCCCGGCTGAATAAAGGACTCTTTTTGTAGACATTGTTGGCCTTTGCTATCTTTGGGGCATGGTGGGTGTGAGAAGACAAGGCTCCGAGAGGAGAACCATTTCTTTAAGAGAAAACCTCTATTCGCTGTCTCAGAGAGTCAGTGAACCCACACTGGCAGGGTTGGCTCTTCTCCTGGATGCAGATGCCCTGACTGGAATCTCTTACCTGCCAGGGGTAGACTGGGCCCCTGGAACAGGTCTCAGAGGTACATCCCAGGAGCTGGTGGAGGCCATGGGCCACGGCGTACACAGCCTGGTACACATTGTAGGCGGCACTCATAGAGAAGGGTCCAAGTTTGGGCATGCTGTATGACGTGAAAGTGTGGCACTCTCGACAAAGCTGGTTAGTGCTGCACTGGGATCCTGCTGGGCAAGACCTGAGGGCACCCTTTACCGCCCTAATATAAGACTCTTCAAACTCCTTCAAGCCAGGGACATGTCTCTGCTGGATGGCCACCCCCAGCACTGTCCCAATGCCCTGGATCCCCGGCACATTGGTGATGTATGTAGATATGGCCCAGTCCTCCGAGGCAATCCACACCTTGCCAGTCAGGTTGGCCAGCACCACAGACCTGAAGAACACTCTGGCAAGGTACCGGTTAGAGAAAACCACAATCACAGTGGTCCTGGCTTGAGCCAAGCGGTACACCATTTGTTGCATCCTTGGGTCACCCACTTGGGCAGAAAAAGGCACGATGTCCTTGAAGGCAATGCAGATGCCCTGTGGTGTGGCCAGTTCCTCCAGTGTCTGCACGCCCAGCTGCCCATAAACGCCGTAGCTGCCAATGAGTGAGATCCAGACCCACCCAAAACTCCGAAGCAGCAGCACCATGGCCTCCACCTGGTGCCTGTCGCTGGGGATGGTGCGAAGGAAAGATGGGTACTGCCGCTTCGTGCTCAGCACCACACTGCTGGCCTCATAGCTGATCTGTGGGGAGGGAGGTCAGCAACATCAGCCTGGACCGAAGGAAGCGAAGCGTGCCCCCCACAGCCACAGCCCCCACCCAGCGAAGGGAGGATGCAGACAGGCGGGAGGCTCCACCGGGGAGTTCCAGGGAGTGTGGGCATCTGCCTATAGACCAAATAAGAGTCGTGTCATTTAAACATGGAACAGAACACACCCTGCCCTCCTGACCCCAGGTCCCAGGCGGCAGACCTGAACTCTCAAGCTGAGGGGCTCACTTGTGTCCTGCACACTCTGGGGACCTCCTAAGGGTCCCCCCGAGAATGTTGAGACTCAAGTTTGACGAGGGTATCTCTAACTCGAGTGAAAATGCTGGGAAGGTGCAGGGCTAGAGCAGGCGTTGATGAAAGCATCTGTGAGGGATGGTGGTGTTCTGTAAAAGGTGAAAGAAAGATTTAACCGGGTGTGGCCAGGAGGGTCAGGAGTTCAAATCTACCCTAGACTATAACACAGGTACAGGGCCATCCCTGTCTCAGAAAGCCAAAAGAGACAAGATGAGCCTGGCGGTGGTGGCACACCTTTAATTCCAGGCTCCAAACCTACAGAGAAACCCTGTCTCAAAAAAAAAAGAAAGAAAAGAGGAAATGAACAAAAACAAAAAAAAAAGATGAAGAAAGAAAAAAGATGAAAGATAGGTTCTGAAGGAAAACTAGATTTTACTGGTAATGGTCTGCTGAAAACCGTCAGTAAAAAGCTCAGTGGGTCGAATGGGCCATGGTGAGGCTGCAGAGCAAAGTGAGTTCCTCGCAGGGCTGCTCTCCGGTGGGGAAGCTGGGTGAGGTACGCATGCTCAGAAGTCAGAATGCATGGTTTCCATGGTCTAGAACAGGCAGGAAAAGAAGACCAGGGAAATACCAGCTACCTCGGAGCCAGGAGGCAAAAGGGTCTCCTCCAGAAACAGAGAGAAAGGGGCCGGGCAAAAACATCAAGGGCGATGCCGTACAGGGAGTGGTCAGACTCGTCACAAAGAACCAGGTAGGGTTAGGACTGAAAAGTGATCTTTGAGTTTGGAGCTAAGGAAGATGCTCCTGCTACCGCTAGATCAAGGGAGGACAGAATCCAATGGACCAATGGAAGGGCGAAGCAAGCTACACCAGAAAGCTCTAGAAAGTTCAATGGCACAGGAGACCATGAAGAGGGATCCCTGTAGACAGGAGACTGCTGAGCACAGCAGAGGCCAGGCCAAGGGCAGGGCGTACAGGACCACCAATGAACAGCAAGGAAGACAGGCACCCCAGTGTCTGGGGTGGGAGGTACAGGCTGTCGGATAGCAAAGGTAGTGGGACCTTTGGAAGGAGAGAAGACAGAGAGTGAGCAGCTGGGTGGCAACACTTTTAAAAGGGAGATGGAGTCTGGGTGGCGCCACACACCTTTAATCCCAGCACTTGGAGGCAGAGGCAGGTGGATCTGAGTTCAAGGCCAGCCTGGTCTACAGAGTGAATTCCAGGATGGACAGCCATTGCTACATAGTGAGACCCCATGTCAAACCAAGCAAGCAAAGTCAAAAGGACAGGGTTTCCCCATGATGGCTGAGGCATGAAGGTAGAAGCCACTCGAGGAGAGGCAGGCAGGGAGATTGACAGTAGCCGTGGTGGGCAGGATGCTGGACCCTGACTAGAGAGCAGGGACTGCCCAGGATCACAGGGGCAGCCTAGGCTCTTTTAGGACAAAGCGGCCACTGCCCCTCTCCCCACCCAGACAGACTAGTAGATGAGGATCCCCGAGGCCAGGCTTACCAGGGGCATCAGAAAGGGGCCCAGCAGGGAAGCTGTGGTGACAGAGTGGTCAGTGTTGTCAGGCCCGATAAGTGCCACCACCTTGGAGGAATAGTTGTGAAGATCTCTCTGCATCTCTATGTGGCCCGTCCCCCGCTGGGCAAGCACCCTCAGTGTAGCATACACATTGGCAGACTCTGAGCACACATCGAACAGTTCATACCCCAGGGAGATGTTGGGGAGCAAGGCTGTGGAGTTGTTGATCTCCTCAATGCTGAACCGCATGGCCTGGAAGAGGTGGTAGCCGTGGCCATTGAAGCTGTCGGGTCTGTAGGGAAAGGCAGGGAGAACTGAGGGTTGAAGCTCCGCCCCCGCCCCGCCCACCACCACACCCACACCCTCTCCTCCTGCATCCCAGGCTTTGGGGGCAGAAAGGAACTCTGAGGTTGTCTATCCAAGCCAACGCCAGCCTGAAACACCGCGGCCCGGGCTCTCAGAACCGGGGCCATCACACATTACACAGTGCGGTGTCCTTACTGCATGTACGAAGTCTTCTGCTCTCACGGGCACGTGAAGGGTTAATGGGAAATCAAAGACCTTTCATCCCTGGCTGCCGCTCTGCTGCACCAAGGAAGGCATCGGGTCAGCATCTCACACTGCACGGTGCAGGAATCTTCATTACCTAACACCCGCTTGAGTTGCTGACTTTAGGTTTTTTAACAAATTGTTTAGTGATTTTTTAGCCTGGAGTTGGGATAGAATTTCCAATAATTTCGGAAATAGCCCTGAGCATAGTGTTACTATTTATGCTATATATCTGAAGTATTGTTCTCAACAATGTTTCAATTCTAAAAAAGAAAAAAGAAGAAGAAGAAGAAGAAAAAAAAAAACACATTCTGTGCCTAGAAGTGCCACACATTCAGCTGAGATGTCTTTATTTAAAAATAAACAAATAAGGGCTGGAGATGACTCTGCCCTTAAGAGCTCTGGTTACTCTTCCAGAGGTCCCAGGTTCAAATCCCAGTATCCAAATGGTACTTTAAAGCACATAAGATAAAGTTAGATAAATTATTAAAATAACATTCATTTCATTACTATTAGTCTGTTTTCTATCTTCCTTCTTCTTTTTTTTTTTTTTTTTTTTTTTTTTTTTGAGGTAGGGTATCTCTGTGTAGCCCTGGCTGCTCTGTAGAGTAGGCTGGCCTTGAACTCACAGAATCTGTCAACTGAGTACTGGGCTTAAAGGTATGTTCTACCATGCCCAAATATATACCTATTTTGTATATGTTTTAATATATATTAAATATAATATATATTTATAACACTATATTATAAAAATATAATATAAATATATATATTTAATATATATAACATGTACTAAAAATTCTCAAGAGGAGGCCAATGTGGTGGTGGTGCACACCTTTAATCCCACCACTCAGGAGAGCTACACAGAAAAACCCTGTTTTGAAAATCCAAAGAACTCCAAAGGTTCAAGGGTCAGTTTCCAGTTCTCACATGGCAGCTCACAAACACCCATCACTCCAATTCCAATGGATCTGATACCCTCTTTGGGCCTCTGAAGGCATGAAGCATGCACTTGGTACCCAGACATATTTGTAGGCAAAATGCCCACACATATAAAAAATAGTTAGACGGTGGTGTGCAGAGCTTTAATCTTAGCACACAGGAGGCAGAGCCAGGCAAATCTCTGTGAGTTCAAGGCCAGCCTATTATGGTCTACAGAGTGACCATAGCTCCAAAGCTAAAGAAACCCTGCCTGGAAAACAAAACCAAGCCAAAGCAACCCCCACCCCCACCCACCCCCCAAAAAAATCCATGCTCTAAAGAAACAGGGTTAACACATATGTACACACATACAAGCATGCACACAGGAAGGTTTACAATAAGGAGCTCCTTCATATAACTGTGGGAGTTATTCAGTTCAAAACTTGTAGAGCTAGCCAGTAGGCTAGCTAGTCAGCTGAATCTAAGGGCAGATGGGGATTGTAGTTCTGACTCTGAGGGCCTCAGGCTTCTCTGTGAGACCTTAAATAGATGTATGAGGCTCGAAGTTACTGTTGACGGACAACCTATTCTATTCAGCATATTGATTTAAATGTTAATCACATCAGAAATATACATTTACAGTCACATCTAGACTGATGTTTGAGCCAGCAACCCTAGGCATCATCTCTTGGACAAACTGAATGTAATGTTACACTATACCTGCCTTACAGGGTTCAACCTAGGCTGAGCTCTCTGCCTTCTAGAAGATTCCCCCATTACTTCTCTCAGTCCTGTTCCCCAAATACACTGAGACACTCGGTACTTCTTGAACACAGAGTCCTTTAGTTTTACAAAGGCAGTTTCTGCCTTTCTGTTTTCAAGGCAGGGTTTCTCTGTGTAACCGCTGTAGCTGTCTTGGAACTAGCTCAAACTCACAGAGATCCATCCACCTCTGCCTTCCAAGTGGTGGGATTAAAAGCGTGCCTATTACCGCCTGTGGAAGCCAATTTTCTTTCATCCTTCTTAAAACCTGTCTTCTGAGCCCAAGTTCCCTCTCCCCAGCCTCCTGTGCGGCTCTGTGGCCTAGGCCTCACCAGGCCAGGGCTTCCAGAACCTTTCTTCCTGGCCAAGCCAGGCAGTTACCAGGTGCAGAGCATCTCACAGCCGGTTGTGAGATCACTCTGGACCTGGACCTCCCTCCCCGATACCAGACTTTCACAGACTGTAAGGGGCCATCTTTAAGAGGAAGCGCAGGGACACACACACACACACACACACACACACACACACACCCCACTCCACTCGCCAGCTGCAGAAATCCAGCAGACCTGAGTGGAGTCTCAACCCACTCTAGCAGCAAACACAAGGGAACATGTTGCAGTATAAACAATAGTACACAGAAGAAAACAACACGTTGCAGTATAAATAAGTAAGGAGCATCCTAAAGTAGAAACTGGTAGAGTTGTTCAGCTACCAGCTTGGCTTCAGCCCTTAGTGGGAGGATTAGGGCAGAACTCAACAGGTAACCCAGAGGCAAGCAGAGGAGCCCTTCTGTTCCCCTAAATGACAGTCTCTCTCTCTCTCTCTGTCTCTCTCTCCCTTCTTTTTCTTCTTCTCCCCCTCCCAACTCTCTCTGACAGGGTTTCTCTCCCAGACTGGCCTCAAACTCACTGTGTAGCTGAGGGTGACCTTTGCCCCCACCTCCCCAGCACAGGGATTCACAGGTGGCACTTACAGGAGCCACCAAACCCAGCTGCTGTGGTGCTGGAGATTAAACCCAGGGCCTCCCTTATGTACTCTAGGTAAGATCCAAATTGATCCAACTACGGCCCCAACCCACTAAGTGACAGCTCTGCTGGCCCCCAACCCACTAAGTGACAGCTCTGCTGGCCCCCAACCCACTGACAGCTCTGCTGGCCCCTACTCACCTGTCACAGCGCGTCACCTGGGGTCTGTGCCTCATCTGCAGGCAGTCTGAATGGAGAGCAAAGAGGCCCCCGAGGAGGTAATCCCCTGGGAGGCTGAAGCCGGGGGAAGACTCCGTGTTGTGGCAGCTGAAAGCCCAGCAAAAAGCAACGGGGAGCTGCAGACTGAGCAGGTAAGCTGCCCAGACAGACATGCTGGCCAGATGCCCCTTTGCCCAGCATGGCTGAGCACACCTCTGACCAGTCCGCCGCTTAAATACACTGGGTGACAAAGCCCAGATGCTCCACGACTCCACGCCCCTGGAACGGGTGGGACTGGAGTCCCGTGGTAGAAAGGCGGTGGGCCTTCCGGGCTGTGGTCTCTCTCAGGAACTGGGCAGGGCCAGGGCATGGATGCAAACCAGGTGGCCCCCTGAGACCCCTCCCCTGGACGGTTGTGGTTTCTGTCCTTGATCTGGTGCTTTGCCTTCACCTGGTTAGGGAAGGGTGGCCTGAGGTTTTTTTTTCAGGGAGGAGGAGGAAGACTGAACGCCAGCGTTACTATGAGGGCGCTCAGGGCTTTCACGATTTTCCTTTTTCGTTGGTTTGTTTTTGTTTTTGAGGCGGCCTCTTGCTCATTTACCCAGGTTGGCTTTGAACTCCTGGGCTGAAGCCATCCTCCCACGTCTGCCCCAGGGGGATCGGATCTAACAGCAGTACTTGAGGCAGTGCCTCGGTGCCCGAGACCAGGCTCTGGGTTGACCCTTGCAGGCCCATGTATTCAGACATTCAAAGTGTTAGTTAATCGTCATGGTTTAACCTGGTTATCCAGGACTGCTCCCATCAGCCAGAAGTCAAATGTATGCAAACCCAGCATATATACAAATATACAAATGGACCGAATTTGTTTAAAACGCCAATCCTGGATTTTTTTTTTTTTTTTCCCTCTGTAGGAAGAAAAAGAAATCCCAGGTGGATTTCCTGAGTGGTGTCCTTGTGGTTAAAGCCAGGAGCTAAGGCTCACCCTGTCCAGCCGGCCAGGTTGGGGTTTTGCATAATGTAAATGGGGCCCCGGGAGGGACAGCACAGCTTCCCTGGCGGCCTGGAGCCCAGGCTCGCGGGGCTGAAGTCCTCCATGTGCCGCGGCCCGCCGGCCGGGAGAGGGCGCCAGCGGGCCCGCACGTCTCACTGGGGGGGGGCGGGGCTGCGTGGTCTCGCGAGATCGTCACGTCGGAAGCGTCCGGAGCCAAGCATGGCGGACGCGGAGGTGCTGCTCCGGCGGGTTCCGAGCCGCTCCCCCTGGCAGCGGGCTCGCAAGGCCCGGCCCCACCTCCTCCTCAGCCGCCGGGGCCGTCGCCGGTTCGGGCTCCTGACCCGGGGCGAGCTGCGGCGCCTGCGACGGCGGCTGCTGCGGGCCCACGCGCTGGGCGGCGACTGGAAGCTGGGCGTCCCCGCGGGCGCGCAGGCGCACGAGGCCGCCAGGTGCAAGGTGCGGGCCCGCGCGCGGCCCACGGCGGACACCCGGCCCGCCGAGCCCCGCGACACCCGGCCCGCCGAGCCCCGCGACACCCGGCCCGCCGAGCCCCGCGACACCCGGCCCCGGCCCGCGCCCCGCACGCAGCCCCGGCGGTCGAACATCACCCAGCCCACGCGGGAACTAGGCTCGGGCCGCGTGCTGCTGCTGCTGCCCACCGGGGAGGTGAGTCGCCCTCCGGATGCAGGACGCGGGCAGGTCCGCCCTGGGGTCGGGAGTCTGGGCCAGCACGGGGATGGGTCGCGTCGCATCCGTCAGGCCCGCGCGTAGCTAGCTGCCAGCATCCCCAGTGGCCCAAACCACTTAGCGCGGTGGTTGCCCTGGCTTTGTTGTGGTCGTGGGCCGACCAAAAGCAAGGTCGGTAGCGTGCACGAAGTTAGACAGTAGTAGCGAGGCAGAGCCAAGGTTTAACTGGATGTGGACCCTGGTTAGGGACAGTGCCGGCCCGGGAGTTATGCACCTTTGTAAGCAAGGGGTTTGGGAGCCTCTCGGGAGGTGCAATGGGGGTGCGATGCTTAGGATTAAGTGAAAAACCTAAGGGAAGTTTGGTCGCATAGTACCGTGTAGTTTTGTTTTATGTGCCTGAGTGGTTTGCCTGTCTATCTGTACAGCATGTGCGTGCAGTGCCTGCCTGGGCCATAAGAGGGCGTGGGACCCTCTGAAGCTGGAGTTGAAGGGGTTGTGAGCCACCCACTTTATGGGTGTTGGGAACCAGACATGGATTCTCTGGCAGAACTGCCAGTTATCTTAACCAGTAAGCCACCTTTGCAGCCCCTGGGCTGTGAAGTTTGATACTTAGACATGGATTTTCAGAAACACCAGTCGCGCTGAATGCAGGGATGGTTGGATCCACATGAGTTTCATGAACAGCCTGTTGTACCTAGTCAGTTCTAGGGCAGCCTTGGCTACATTGTGAGGCCCATTCTCCAAAAAAAAAAAAAAATTATTACTATGTTACTAGCAAGTTAAGGTTTTAGGATTTTCCTGCCTTTGGTAGCAGTATTCATAATGGTTTGTTGTTGTTGTTTTCCTTTCCCTACTAGGGTTTTACTTTTAGTGGGATATGCCGTGTGACTTGCATCTATGGCCAGGTGGAAATATACGGCCATATCATCAAACAAGGCCAGCCTGCCCGAGATGTTTATTCTGCATACACCCACGCCTGCCTGACCATCAATGGGGTTCAATACCCAGAACCTGAGAAAAGTGGAAAGGAAATCAGGAGAGAGATACGGGCTGTGCTCAAGCCTCACATGAAACTGGGTAGGGTTTCAGCTCCTACACCAAGGCTAATTAATCATTTTAAGTGTTCATCATAGTCTGCACATGATACTCTATTTAAATCCTCACAGAGAGTAGGGGGGAGCAGAAAGTCTTACGTATTAAAGTACTGTTATTTCCACCGTTTCACACCAGATGTGTTCCAGGACCATGAAGCTGGTGGTGGTGGCAGGGTTGGGTCACGGCGCTTCCGCCCTACGCCAGAGAATCAGCTGCTCCGCTTTGTGACACACTGCACAGGTCTAAATTCTAATGCAGTGGCTTGCTCTTCTCTCTACAGATGACAGAAACTGGGCAATACAGAATTTCCCTCCTCTGGGTTCCGTGGTGCTGCTGGAGCAGCTGAGGACCCCTGCTGTAGACTTCATGAGCTTCTATGCGTGTGCGTCCTATGTCTTCCGGCAGGAGGTAAGGCCAGTGCTTGTGTGGGTTTGCTGGCCCCTTTGCAGCAGAGCGGTCAGCTGAATGTCTGTGCAGGGCACGTCTTCAGAATCACCCTCTCTGTCATGTGAGTGGGGTAGGTGTTACACAGCAGCACCTCAGTGTCAACAGTTAAGAGATAGTCTCTCCACAAGGTGTATCGTGGGTAAAGACACTTGCTGAGCAAAGCCTGATGAAGTGGGCTCCATCCCAGGTCCTCGCTCCTGGGTTTTGTTCTGTGGCCCCCACTAATGTGGTGTGACATGCACTCACCATGGCAACTGCAGAAAGGTCATCATGGACATTTTCCCTCTTCCTCAGTTTCATTGCCCAGCTGAAGCCACCTCTTTGTCAGCTATGGTAGGACAAGCCTGCAATCCCAGCACTTTTGAGGTGTAGTCAGGAGGATTAGGAGTTTGAGGCCATCTCCAGATAGATAGAGATGTGGAGGCCTCCCTGAGCTGCATGGCACCCTGTCTCCAAAAGACCGAAGGAGGAAAGACAGCCAGGTGGAGATGTCAGGTGGGCAATAGAGTGTGAGTCTGCAGTTTGAAGAAGATGGCAGGGTTATGGATTTGGGAGCCTGCAGCAGGGAGGGTATCTGAGAACACAAATTAGGTGAGAGAATGAAAGAGCATGTGATGCAGCGTGAGAGGAAGAGGGTATGAGGTCTGGGCCGTGTCACTTTGGAGGGGAAAATAAGGAAGCCACCGAGAAGCTGAAGAATGACCAGGGTTAGAGGCCTTGCAGGTCTAAGATGGTCTCAGACAGTGCAGGACAAAGATCTGGACCAGACTGGTTTCAGCACACTGGTGAGGGACAGCCTTGTGATAGAGGTGAAGGGGGGGAGAGAAACTAGATTAGGTAGTAAAAGACTTCATTTTCAAGGGGAAGAATGGTTATAGGGTGCTGTAGTGACAAAGTACTGTTAAGAGGGAATTATGAAATACTGTGCTTGAGCACACTGGGTAGGACTGAAGGAGAAGGAAGGACTGCTGGACTAACGGCCCTGCAGAGGGCAAGCTCATCTGGACGGACCTTGGGTCCAGGATGCGTGTGTTTGCTTATTAGGCCGTGTGGCATTGGGAGGAACAATGATGCTCTGTGTATGTGCTTGTACACATGCACCTTCAGATGCATGCAGGCACATGGAGAAGCCAGAGGACACCTTGAGTTCTGTTACTCTCGAGACAGTCTTTGGTTGGCCTGGGTTTCTGTCTGGGGCCTCAAGATTATTGACCAAGCTGTTCCCCAACACAGGCATTTATTTTGTTTTAAATTTTTTGTTTTGTTCTTCAAGACAGGGTTTCTTTATGTAGCTTTGGAGCCTGTGTTGGACCTTGTGGTCCGCCTGCCTCTGCCTTCTGAGTGCTGGGATTAAAGGTGTGCACGGCCACCTCCTGTCTTGTTTTAATATCTCTTTTTAGGTTTGTTTTTTGGTGTGGGTGTGTTTTGCTTGTATGTGTGCTTGTGTACACATGTGTGCCTGGTACCAAGGAGGTGGTGATGAAAATCAAACGCCAGTCCTTTGCAAGAATAGCTTTTTTGTGTTTTGAGATAGGGTTTTTTTAGGTGGAGTTTTCCCATCCCAGGAGCCACTTCCAAATTACCACACAGAGGATTATAGTAATTGTAAATGCTTGCCCAATAGCTCAGGCTTATTACTAACTAGCTCTTACATTTTAAGTTAACCCATATTCTTTATTTACACTCTGCCACAATGCGGTATTCTTACTGCATGGGACACTCATCTCCTACTCCCCCTGTGTCTGTTGGGGACTCCTCTGACACTACCACCCTTCTCCCAGCATTCTCCTAGTCTGGCTCCCCAGCTTAACTTTATCTGTTCAGCTATTGGCCAGTCAGCTTTTTATCAAACCAATCATAGCAGCAGATCTTTAGTGCACAAAGGATTATTCCACAGCAGGTTTCTCTGTGCTGCCCTGGCTGTCCTGGAACTCGGCTCTGTAGACCAGGCTGGCCTCAGACTCAGAGATCTGACTGCTTCTGCCTCCTGAGTGCTGAAGTTAAAAGTGAGGCTCCCTCTTCTAAAATGACTCTAGCTTTTATCAAGTTGACATAAAAACTGACTAGCACAGTTGGCCCCTTGTGAACTTGGCATTAGACGCAGATTGCTCATTAAGCTGTAACCTTCCCTGTTCATCCCCAAGATCTGATGTTAATACCAGCATCACAGTGTGGACCATTCCAAGTGGTCTTTGTTTGTTTGTTTAAGGTGTATTTATTATATATACAATGTTCTGTCTGCATGTATCCCTGCAGGCCAGAAGAGGGCACCAGATCTCATTACAGATGGTTGCTGGGAATTGAACTTGGGGCCTCTGAAGAGCAGCCAATGCTCTTAACCCCTGAGCCATCTCTCTGGCTCACTATTTGTTTTGTTTTTTTAAGACAGGGTTTTCTCTGTGTAACAGCCTTGGCTGTTTTGGAATTCTCTGTAGACCAGGCTGGCCTTGAACTCATAAAGGAGGACCTCTTAGGAGTTTGAGGCCAGCATGGTCTATGTGGAACCGCTTGGACTACAGAGAGACCATTTCTCACTCAAAACAAATAGGCACCTGGCCAGGCAGTTCATTTGCATAATTGCTGGAAGACAAATAGCTGAAGGACCAGAACAAGCAAAGAATTCTCTCTGGGAGAGGGAGCCAAGGCATCCCTGGTATGGGAGCAGATGGTGGGCAAGCTTAGAAGCTGCTATGAAAAAAGGAGATGAAGAGAAAGTGGTTGGGATATCACTGCATGGGGAATAAGATTCTGGGACACAGTATTGGCTGATGGATGTTTATTCAGGGAGAAATCATTTACACAAGAAACAGATGACCACCGAAGGTTCCTGTTCTGTGTCCCGAACCAGGAAACAAGAGAGTAGACTGGAGTCCAGCACCCTGGACTTAGTCCCCACAGTTCATGCCCGCACCTGTTCCGACACCCCAAAGGGCTGGTCAGTGCAACAGGTACATTGGGGTGGATATCTCACACGGGGTATGGCTGTGTGTTTGTGATTATTATTTCGGGATTTTAATTATGTGAATCTATGCACATGTGTGACAGATTTCTGTAGAGATCAAAGGTGTGAAGTCACAGCTCTGCAGGTGAAGTTACAGGAGGTTGTAAGCTGCTCAGCGAGGGTGCTAGAACTGCTAGAACGTTAGCCTTCAAAGAGCCCAGTCCCATTAACTTCTGGCCCTCTCTCCACACCCCACCCTTGCCTGTCTTTTGTTTCCTTCCTTTCTTTTTGAGACACAGTATTACTATGTAGACCAAAGAGACCTCAACTTTGTATTCCTTTTGCCTCTGGAGTTCTGAGATTACAGACAAGTACTACTATGGTTACTTTGTTTGGTTGGTTTTTGGTATTTGGAGACAAGGTTTCTCTGTGTAACAGACCTGGCTGTCCTGGAACTTGCTCTGTAGGCCAGGCTGGCCTGGAACTCACAAAGATCCACATGCCTCTGCCTCTGGAGTGCTGGGATTAAGTGTGCCAGTGGTTGCATTTTTATTTACTTGCTTGTGTGGGGGGGTGCCTGTGTGTAAGTGTAGTGTGCATGCATGTGGAGAAGCTGATATGGAATGTCTTGCTCAATCCATCTCCACTGTCTTTTGCTGAACCTGGGACCCAGCAGTTGTAGCTAGTGTAGCTAACCAGCTTTTTCCAGGGCTCCCCTGTCTGCCTCCCAAGTACTGAATTACAGGCAGCCCTCACTCTTCCCTAGTTTTATGTGGGTGCTGGGGATTTGAACTCTGGTCCTAAGTACTGGAGTCTTATACACTGAGCCATCTCTCCCTAGCCCTTCATGTGATTGCATTCTGGAGAGTTTTTTTGTTTTCATTTATATATCTGTGTATGCCACATATATTTTAGGAGGCCAGAAGATGGCATCAGATTTCCTGCAACTGGAATTAAGGTGATTGAGCTATCTAACGTGGGTGCTAGGGACCAGACTCTGGTCTTAGAGTTTGAATTGTATTTCAGAATACTCCTGTACGGACTAACGCAGAGTATGTCATGTTGAAGAAGATTGGCCTCAGAAGACAGAGGAAGAAGAAAGGTATCTGCTTGAGCGAGAGCGGCCTTTGTGCCCTGGGAGAGCTAGTCAGTGCCTGCTGTGGTGAGCATCACCTTGTCGCCTGCCCGGTCCGCATTCCCCATCGCCCCAGGACTGCGTCCCTGCAGTCCTGAGGACTGCCTGACACCGGGCCTTGCTGTTTGTTTTACCTGCAAAAGTAGATGGCTGCCCTGTCATCGTGTTGTGTGGCGCTTGTGACATTGGGAAGTCAACGTTCAGTAGAATACTGATTAACCAGTTGCTGAATAGGTAAGCATGCTTGTGTTTTCTCTTGGTCATCCGGGCATGAAGTGAGATTCAAATGGAGAAACTTGGTTTTTGTTTGATCTCCTGAGGCGTGGTCTCACTATAGACTAGTCTAGCCCTGGACTCTTGGTGATTGTCCTGCCTCAGCCTCCCCAGTGGTGTGACTACAGGTATAAGCCACCATGCCCAGATGATGGAAAGACTTGAGGTGGGATTGTGTTCAGCGCTGTGTGTCATCAGCTGGGCACTGGCACCCTTCACTGTGGTGACGGTGCTCACATACGGCTCTGACCTGTGCAAGAGGGTTGCTTGGTCTTGGGACTGTGTCATCCCCAAACTCAGGACTGCCTCGTTACATTTTGGTAATGGCCTTGCCTATTGGGAATGGGATGGGGCCTTGTCTGTACTGTGGTCCCTGATGATATCCACGTGTCACACAGAATGCTCCTACCAAGGAAAGCTGTGGACACTGTCTTTTTCTTCTCTAACAATTTTCAGCCTTCCTGGGGTTGACTATCTGGAATGTGATCTGGGGCAGACGGAGTTCACTCCTCCTGGCTGTGTTGCTTTACTTAACATCACAGAACCACTTCTGGGTACGTGTTACATGTTTCTTTATTGTCTCAGTCTTACAGGGTTTCTGTATAAAATGTAATGCAAAGTGAACTGTTGTGCCTCTAGCTTCCACAACAAAATTGAGTATGTTTTTATTTTAAAAAGTGTAACTCTTTGTTTGATGTAAATTTTGTTATTTTTTTTTTTTTTATTTGTATTGCTGTTTTGTCTGCACGTATGGCTTTGTGAGGTGTCGATGTGATCAAGGGCATTTGGGGCAGTTTGTTTCTGTTTTGAGACAGGATCTTGCTATGAACAGGCTGACCTCAGACTCATGCACGATCCTCCTGCTTCAGTTTCCCAGCTTCTGGGATCACAGGGTTTCTCTATGTAGCCTTGGCTGTCCTGGAACTCTCTTTGTAGATCAGACCTCTAACTGGCAGAGACACCTGCCTCTGCCTCCTGAGTACTGGGATTATGGGTGTGTGCCACCACCACCTAGCAACCCATATTTTTATTAACCTGTGTTCTGCCATGTGGCTTTAACCTCTCCCATTCTGCGTTTCTGACTCTATGGCATCTCCTGCAAGCCTAGATTCATCCCTCTGACTTGTCTTTCTGCTTGGAAGTTCTGTCTATGCTTTCCGCATATTACACCAATCACAGCAACACATTTCACACTGTATTTCTGCAACAGTTCCTTCTTCCTACCATGTAGGTTCTGGAGAACTGAACACTGGCTGCTTTGTCTGATGAGCTGTCATCGCCTTGGCTTTTTGTTTGGTTTTGTTTTTCACAGAGATCCACCTGCCTCTGCCTACACAGTGCTGGGATCGAATGCCTTTCCATGCTTAAGATTTATTTCTAATTATGGGGGGGTTGTACACCCGGGTGCCAGTGTCCTTGGGGCCCAGGAGATGGCATCAGATCCCCCAAACGTGGAGTGACAGGTTGATCATCCACCTCTTGACACCAAACTCAGGTCCTCTGCCAGAGCTGGGATGCTCCTGCCGCTGCCGCCATCTCTTCAGCTTTGCTCTGGGCTTTTCTCTCTCACTGTGGAGCTCTGGCTAGTCTGGAACTTGCTGCTCTGAATCTCAATCCAGCTGCCTTGCCTCCCAAAGGCAGGGAGTACTGGGAGGGAAGTTCAAGGGCTACCTGGACTACGTATGTGTCAAGTTCCAGGAGAGCCAGAGATGTTACACAGAGAGACCCTGTCTCTCTCAGATACCTGGGACAAATACAGCCATGTGAGAACATGATGGGGGTTGACTTACATGTGTGAAATTGGGGGTGTCTTTGACTTTCAGAAACATAATTGTGGTATTCTTGGAGGTTTGAGATTTCCAAAGATCTTTGTCCAGGTTGGCAGTGACACAAAATCCTGGCCACTGCTTGTGGCCATGGCATGGTTACTTCTGCTTAGCAGTGATGTAGATGGAACCCTTTAGCAGCAGGTCTCAACCTGTAGGTCATGACCCCCACAGGGGTCACATACCAGATATTTACATTACGATTCATAACAGCAAAATTACAGTTATGAAGTAGCAATAACATGTTATGGTTGGTGTCACCACATGAGTTGTGTTACAGGGTTGCTGTGTTAGTTAGTGAGGTTGAGGACCCCTGGCCTTTTTGTGTGAGAGGCAACTGCTTAGCTCCTAACTCAGGCTGTTATTTTCCTAGGACCACCTTACACTCACCCGAGGAGGCCGCAGAGGATGGTGTATTATGGGAAGATGAGTTGTCATAACGACTATGAGAATTACATTGAGATAATAAAATATGTGTTCAGAGATTACAAGAGAGAGTCCCCACTCATCATCAACACCATGGGCTGGGTGAAAGGTGAGCAGTGTCAGCAGTCACCATGTGTGCCGCCGGGTTCAAGTGCGGGCAAGCATAGGTCATCCCCCTGTCTCGCTGAGGGCACCCTGAGCTTCCAGTACCTCCCTCTTACCACCACCTCCCACTGTAGAGGTGTAGGCTTCTCTATCGCTGTCCATTCATTGTACATGGTGCTGAGACTTAAACCCCGTCTCACATGCTGAGGGACAGTTTCACCAAGTGAGCTCTGCTTTCTGGGCTTTGGATTGTTGGTTATTTTGTTGATACCTTTTTTTGAGACAAGTTTCTCTGTAGCTTTGGAGCCTCTCCTGAAACTCGATACTTAGACCAGGCTGGCTTTGAACTCACAGAGATCCACCTGTCTTCCTCTCACGTGCTGAGATTAAAACTGCCCGTCCCGTGTCTTTAGTGCTTGCTGTGCTATGCTCACGGTCTCATGGTCTTGCATCTGGTCTCACGGTCTCACGGTTTCTCACGGTCTCTCTTCCATGGCAGATGATGGGCTGCTGCTGCTGGTTGACCTGATCCGATTGTTGTCCCCCAACTATGTCGTTCAGTTGTCTGGCCGGGGTAAAACAATGCCGGCTCTGACCTCAGAATATGTGGAGCTCACAGATGGCCTATACACAAAAAGCAAGATCAAAAGGAGACTTCGGGGTTTTGAAATGGGAGAATTTGGAGACAGTTTGGAATTTACTGATGAAGAAAAAGACTCCTGTCCAGTTCCAGCCCTCACTGAACATAAGCTGATAGCTGTTCACTCAGAATTTTTATGTGATAAAAACGAAAAAAACAGGTAAGTAAAATGTCGTTGGGTAATGAAGCTCTCTGCAGTGGCCAGATTGTGAGCTCGCTTGTTTACAGGCTGGCCACAGTGGCTCTTGCCTATTCTCACACCTGGGAGGCAGAGCTGGGCATCATGAGTTCAGGGCCAGCCTGTAGCAAATTGTGAGGCCCTGTAAGCAGAAGAGGTAATCCTCTGAAGATTTAAAGGAGCGTCGTTGGGGCAGGGGAATCTCATGGAGATGGGGCTTCCCATATTAGTGGCCAGGGGTTCAGTGCTGAGGAGTCTTTGGGCTTCCTGTTATTTGGAGGACTGTGTCAAAACAGGGTTTTAGGTAGAGACTAGAGGGGCTGAAGGAGGGAGGGAGGGAAGCTGGGTAGGTGGGTGATGGGTGGGTGAGTAGGTAGTATTGGCCATTAGACCAGAGTCTTGGAGTTGCTGGCAGCTGTAACAGCCCCAAGTTTTGGGGGGGTTTGGGGAGGTTTGGGGAGGCCTCGGGAGGCCTCCTATGCTCCTGAGGTTCTGCTCACTTCTGCCCTCAAGTGGCTTTGGTGTGTTATTCTCCACTCACCTTGCTCTCTCTACTTTTCAGGGCCAAATACAACAAAATCTTTCGAGACCTGTCAGTGTTGGGCTACCTTAGCCAGCTGATGCCTTCTGTGCCAGGGCCGCTCACACCTTTGCACGGCCTGACTCCCTATCAGGTAATGAGAGCTGATGGCAGAAACCGTCTGTTTACTGATAAGACATGGGAGGCTTCCTGAGCCCTGGGTACCCTGCCTCCTGCCTCCTTCCCTAATGCTCAGAACAGCTCTGGGGTTTGGGTTCTGATAGTACCCCCATTCTTCAGAAGGGAAAAGTAAGGAATAGTGAGTGCCTGATGTCTCAGGATGCTGTAGGGCTCCGTGAGCCTTCCTGGCAGTGCCTGGTACATAGAGTACCCTCCTGCAAACCTTGTTACTCTGTCCGGTTCCAACACCAAAGGAACTTTGAGTCCAAGCTGCTGGGAATTGTTTTGGGGACAGCTCTTTGGTTAGGGGCTGTGGTGGAGATGGTTAGTGGTGAGAATACCGGTGATTGTTAGGAGCCGCTGACTGAGCTCAGAGACTACCCCGTGCTGTGTGGTAGGCTGACTTTTCTGTCCTGCCAGCCAGTTCACAAATAACCACACAGAGACTTCTTATTAATTATATTATAAATGCTCAGCTAGAGCTTAGACTTGTCTCCAGCCAGTTCTTTGTTTGTTTTTTGAGACAGGGTATTGCTTTGGAGGCTGTCCTGGAACTCGTTCTATAGACCAGGTTGGACTCGAACTCACAGAGATCCACCTGCCTCTGCCTCCAGATTGCTGGGACTAAAGGTGTTCACCACCAACGCCTGGCTTCCAGCCAGTTGTTACAACTTAAACGAACCCATTTTTATTAATCTGTGTGCTTCCCTGAGGCTCTTGTAATTCATCTGAACTTTCCACATTGCCTCTTCTGCTTCTGGCTCTGAATTCCTCAGACTCCAGCCTCCATCTTCGCAGCATTTTCTGTGCCCTGAAATCCTGCCTAGCTATAGGCCAGATTGACTTATGTATACTGTTTACATTTGTGCATGAAGACCATGAGAGGGCGCCAGATCTCATTACAGATGGTTGTAAGCCACCATGTGGTTGCTGGGAATTGAACTTAGGACCTCTGGAAGAGCAGCTGGTGCTCTTAACTGCTGAGCCATCTCTCCAGCCCTGCGACAGTGAGAGCAACACACATTCCCAGTGTTGGAAAGGATTACTCCACAGGACTATGCACATATACTCAGTCTGAGCTTCACATGTATGTGCGCGTGCACACAGGCACACACACACACAGAGTCAGTTACTTCACTGTTGTGGTGACAAAACACTATGACCAAGGCAACTTATAAAAGAAGGGTTAATTGGGCTTTTAGTCCCAGAGACTTAGAGTCTAGGGTAGCAGAGCAGTGACATCTGTGGGGGAGAGCAGTTGACACCTCACATCTTGATTCATAGAAGAGGCAAGCTGGGAACTGTGCAAGTCTTCTGATACCTCAACACACACACACACAACACACACACACCACACACACACACACAACACACTCACACACGCCACACACACACACGCCACACACACACACACCACACACACACAACACACTCACACACAACACACACACTCACACAACACATATACTCACACACAACACACACAACAACACACACACACAACACACACACAACACACAACACACACACTCACACAACACACACAACAACACACACACAACACACACACTCACACACAACACACACACTCACACACAACACACACACTCACACACAACACACACACTCACACAACACATATACTCACACACAACACACTCACACACAACACACACAACAACACACACACAACACACACACACGCCACACACACACCACACACACACACACCACACACTCACACACAACACACACACTCACACAACACACACACACAACAACACACACACACAACACACAACACACACACAACATGCCTTCTAAGGTCACACCTCCTGATCCTTCCCAAATACTTCTAATAATTTGGGACAAAGCATTCAAACCTAGGAGCCTATGTGGGCCATTGTCATTTGGATCAACACATACACACCAGCATTTTTTTTTTTTTTTTTTAAACCAAGAAGCATTTGTTGTGAAGGCGGGTAGGCTCCGTAACAGAGCGGGGGCTCCCTGGGCTTCTCAGGAGAAACTGCAGCTGCTGAAGAGGAGCTGCTCTTTGTGTGCCGCCATGGCTACCTGGCTATGTTGGACAGATGTCACTCTGTGGTTGAGGGATAGCACTCTGCTGTCTTTGCTCTTGTACTTCTGAGAATTGAAGTGGCCCATAGCACACTGTTCTAGAAGGCACCTTAGTAAATACTCCAAGATCATGACTAAACATGAATGTCACAGCCAGTTTGCAGTGGGTTTGCTTTTTTTTTTTGAGACAGAGTTTCTCTGTGTAGCCCTGGTTGTCCTAGAGCTCTCTACAGACCAGGCTGGCCTCAAACTCACAGACATCCACCTGCCTCTGCCTCCCAAGTGCTGGCATTAAAGGTGTGCGCCACCACTGCCTGGTACAGTGGGTTTGTTTTAAAAAAAGAAAGCAAATTTCTGTTCAGCAAAACACAGCTGGCAAATACTGCAGACAGGCATCCATAGACAGATGTCCAGAAGAAAGGGGGCCTAACTGGAACGGTAGCCCTGGCTGTCACTCTGGCTGCCAGTACCTACTGTGACATCCATCCCTTCCTCTGCACCCTTTTGGCTTAAGTTGAGGGAAGAAGAGTGGAGATCATATGGGTAGAAGTACAGGAAGGAGGGAACTGTGAAACCCAGGCTGCCTTGACCTTGTGGTCCTCTTGCCTCTGCCTGCCATATGCTGTGAGGCTAAGCATGTGCCACCAACACTCAGTCTTTTTGTTGGGGGGGAGGGTGTTTAGAGACAGGGTTTCTCTGTGTAGCCCTGCTATCTTAGAAATTTACTCTGAGTAGACCAGGCTGGCCTTGAACTCACTGAGATCCAACCACCTCTGCCTCCCCAATGCTGGGATCAAAGGTGCGTGCCACCACTGCCTGATCCACACCCAGTCTTTTGCCGTGCATTTTCAACCAAGCCGTCCCCTAATTTGGGCTTTCAACACCCAGATTGGCTGGGTATGATGTCACCCATGTGTTGGTAGAGTAGGAACCCCATGTGTTTGTAAAGTAGAGTAGGAACCCTGTGGCTTGCTGACTAGCCAAGTTAGCAAGCTTTAGGTTTGATGAGAGACCCTTTTTCTCAAAAAAAAGAAAAACAAGGTGCAGCTACATAGTAAGACTGTTTCAAAAAAAAAAAAAAAAAACAATGTGGAGAGTTGTCAGTGGGAAGATACCTACAGGTGTATGCTGAAAAATACAGGTGAGCACACATGAACACATACACACATAGAGAACATAATTAAGTCTCTAAGTCAGCGTTGTAGTCCATGCCTGTTATTAACTCATCGCTCGGGAGACGAAGGCAGTGGATTGCATGTCTGCAATCCACCAGGACTACATAGAATCTATGTCTCAGGAGGAAGCCTCTCGGAGTAGAGGTGAATCGGGGAGATGAACATTTATGGTTTATTCTCCAGGTCCCCTTCAATGCAGTTGCTGTCCGGATCACTCATGCCGATGTTGCCCCTTCCCACATACTGTACGCTGTGAATGCCAGCTGGGTTGCCCTTTGCAAGATCATGGATGATATGACAGGGTACACTCAGGGTCCCATCCTGCTTGCACAGAATCCCATATGTGACTGCTTGGGCTTTGGTGAGTTGAGAGTACATTATGACTCCCTGTCCACTGCACTAGAGACAGCTGATCTTGACCTTGTGCATTTTATTGGGAAGCGCCAGTCTCTGCATGCTCCCCCAGTGCTAAGTTCTTCCCCCTTAGCACAGCTCTTTTCTCGGCCTGCTGGTCCCTCACAGCTGAATGGGGGATGTCCAAATTCTTTGAATTAGACTTTCTCAAGATTTACTTTATTTGGACTGGAGAGATAGCTCAGAGGTTAAGAGCACTGACTGCTCTTCCAGAGGACTTGGGTTCAATTCCCAGCACCCACATGGCAGCTCACAACTATTTCTAACTACAAGGTCAGACACACACACACACACACACACACACACACACACACACAAAACATAAATGCAGGCAAAATAACAATGTAAACTAAAGATTTTAAAGTAAATAATTTTTTTTAAAGATATATTTTAAGTTTAGCTAGGCATGGTGGCTCACCCCAGGAGACACAGGCAAGTGGTTAGTTCTCTGTGAGTTTGAGTACAACCTGGTCTCCTGATCAAGTTTCTGGACAACAGGGGCTATGTAGACAGAGCGAGTTCCAGGACAGGCTCCAAAACAATACAGAGAAACCCTGCCTTCAGAAAAAAATGTATGTGTATGCACACAAGTGCAGATGCTCCTGGAGACAGAGGTGTTAGGTCTTAGGTTCCTGGAGCTGGAGTCTGCCTGAAGCTGGTGCTAGGAACTGAACTTGGGTCCTGCGGAAGCACAGCCAACGCGTTTAACCCTGCTGAGCCATCTCAGTACCCCTCAGTTGCTCTTTGAAGTCTGAAAGCAAAGCACTACAAATTAAAATTCCTTAATTTATCTTGTTTGTGTTTGCCTGTATGTCTGTGTGCACTCAGAGGCCAGAGGATGGATTCAAGTGCTAGGACTAAATGCATACATCACTGCCTGGCTCAGCACATGTTCTTAACTGCAGGGTTGACTCTTCAGCCCCAAAATAAAACTCCTTTTTTTTTTTTCTTGCTTTTTTGAGACAGGGTTTCTCTGTGCTTTTGGAGGCTGTCCTGGCACTAGCTCTGTAGACCAGGCTGGCTTCAAACTCACAGAGATCCACCTGCCTCTGCCTCCCCAGTGTGGACTAAAGGCCTGTGCCACCATAGCCTGGCCCCAAAATAAAAGTCTCAGTGTCAAGGTCAGGCTTCCCTTCCTGGTGGTTGAAGTGTGGACTGTCTGACAAGTGGCTGACTCTGCTCTGTCCTGAAGGCATCTGCAGAGGCATTGACATGGACCAGCGGCTGTACCACATCCTCACCCCGTTGCCTGCAGAAGAGTTAAAAGCGGTGAACTGTCTGCTGGTTGGTGCCATTTCCATCCCACATTGTATACTCAAGAAGCAGGTGAGCTGACACGACGGCCTTGCAGGGAATTCTGGCTGCAGGAATGAGCTGATGTTAGTCGGAGTCGAGGCAAAAGTCCTTTACCTGGGAGACATATGCTTTACTATGTGGTTTGAATGACATGAAGTGGGATGCTGGGTGCCTCAAAAGGTTTAGGTCAGCATCCCAGTGTAGAGCCAATAATAAGCGAAGGTAGCTTCCAAGGGCTGACCACCATGGACAGTCTTGTGCGGGTGTGTTTGTTTTGAGACAGGGTCTCACTGTGGAATCTTGGTTGACCTAATTTGTAGACCAAGTTGGCCTCCCAAGTGTTGAGATTTAAAGTGTACCACCGCCAGTCTCCTAAGACACACAGGAAAGCACAAGCGTGTTCATCTGCGTGGCCCCAAAGGGCTGAGTGGGTAGAGGTCGTGGTTGTGTTTAAGTCTTACCTGAGAGCTGCACACACCATGCACCGCCTCTCACAGTGTTTAGTTGGGGGGTGGGGTAGCGGGTCAGGGTAGACAGATGATACCTAGGCTTGTTGAAGGCATATCTGATGGTCATATATACATACACATAAAACCACATCGGTGAATGAATATATATATATATATATATGCACACACACACACACACACACACACTCACTCATATATATTTGTTTGTGTTTGTTTGGTTTTTTCCAGGTCGGTTTTCTCTGTAGTTTTGGCTGTTCTTGAACTCTGTAGATCAGGCTGGCCTCAAACAAAAATCCATCTGCCTCTTCTGGGCGGTGGTGGTGCAACTGTTAATCCCATCGCTCGGGAGGCAGAGGTAGGTGGATCTCTGAGTTCCAGGCCAGCCTGATATATAGAACTAGTTCCAGGACAGTTAGAGCTACATAGAGAGATCCTGTCTGGGGAAAAAGAAAAATCCATCTGCCTCTGCCTCCCAACTACTTCAATTAAAGGCCCGCATCATACTCTGTGTGTCTGTGTGTGAAAATTGTATAAATTGGATTTTTGAGGCAGGGTTTCTGTCTGGAACTTTCTCTATAGTACAGGCTGGCCTTGAACTCACAGAGATCTGCCTGCCTCTGGCCTCCTGAGTACTAGGATTAAAGGTGTGCACCACCACCACCCGGCTGTATATTTTTAAATTTAAAAAAGGAAAAAGGCCCTTTGAGGAACATCCTAAGTGTCTCGGGCTCCAGACACCTGCTGCCCAGCTGCTTCATACTGGCTTCCGGTTGGGAGAGTCCCTCTGGTCCTGGAGCCTGTTGGGACTGGTCTCTATACTGTTTCTTTATGTTTCCATTTCAGCCTGGGCTTGAAGGGACAATTCCTTACGTCACCACGGATTATAATTTGAAACTTCCTGGAGCATCGGAGAAGATTGGAGAAAGAGAGTATGAACATGCATTGCTTGGATACAAATCCTATAAGAGGAAATAAAGCCCCACCTACAACCTTGTCCTCAAGCCCAGAGTCAGTGGCCTTAGCTGGGCTTCGTGGCTGTGAAGAATACCCTCCTGATCGGTTTCATGTTGCTGGGAAATGTACTTCAGACCAAAAAGCTCCAGACTCTTTCTTTCTTTTCCCTCTAAGATGGGGAGGGTCTCCTGTCGCCATCACCCAAGTGTGGCATCACAGGCCTGTGTCACCACCACACCCGGCTTTCAGGCTTTTCTCTTCCTTGTTGATGTCAAACTTGGCCTCTCTTTGACTGGCTCCTCTGGGTGAGTGGAATGTCCTGAAGAGGGCTGAAACAGTGGGAGAAGCTGTGCCTCCTCATCAGACAGGGACAGTATGGCCTCTCAGTTGACAAGGACCTGACTATAGGAATCAAAATAAAATTAGGGAGTCAGGGGCCACAAAAATGTGCCAAGAAACAGTGCTCAGGTTCAGTGTGCAAGCTGCCTGGGTCCTGAACAGACTCAGAGTCACATGGCCCTGACCAATTAGGTGACCAATCAGACGCCTCATCCTTTCATGCCATTGACTCCCAGTCGTGTAGTCAAGTGTTAGCCGATTGTAGTTTGTGGGTCATTTTAATCATGGGACTTGTGTGTTGAAGAAGCTGCTCTGACATTCAGAAAGCCTCCAGACTGTTGCTACAGTCTGGGTATGCTCTGACTGACCCCTCCATTGAGGCCAGACACAATGCTATGGGGCCACCAGCCTGTGAACAGATACATTTGTGCCTGGCTTAGGCAAACCTTTGCTGCCAGTGCTTTCCTCTAGGGACCCGGAGGCCACTTGAGGTGCCATTTCTTTCTAGTGGATTCTGTAATTAGAGGTGACTGGATCAGGCCACTGAGGAACTTCTCAGGTTGTCATGACCAAGTGTCAGGACTCACCTCCCAGTGGGATCATGTCAGAGGCTGTAGAAGGTTGAATATTCATCTTCACATACGCCATTGATGAGCCCATCTTGTCTGTAACCACCCCAGTGGGCCCGTGTTGTCTGCTTGGCCCGTCTTTGTGACACTACGTGGTGGCCTCAGCATTTGGCAGAACTGCAGCAGCGGGTCTGGACCCCTTTAGACCCCTGAAGGACTCACTGGCTAGCTGTCCCTTATTTATATCTACCGTTACCTTGTGTTGTCTTTGTTTGGTGGGGAACGCCTCTCATGTTGCCCAGTCTGGTCTCTGATCCTGAGTGCCGAGATGACAGGTGTGACGGTCTCGGCCCCACCGTGCTTCTGTGTCCCCACATTTTCCTGTCTTCACAAGAATAAAGACCCTGAAGTGCAGATGTCCCCTTGGCATTTTCCGGGAAGGTGTGCTTTTAGCTGACCTTCACTCGTGGGTCCCCACCAGTGGAGACCCTGTGTCAGTGCAGAGGGAACTGTAGGCATTGGGCTGGTGGCTGTGAGGAGCAGTCACTTGGAACAGGATTCCTTGCTGTGGAGCCTGGCTTTGGGAAGACCTGCAACCATGTCTGTCCATGTGATCACCGGCATTTGGAGCAAAGAAGAGATGGCACAGTGGCATCTTTGGGGGAGAGGGGTTGTTTCTGTTTTGAGACAGGATCTTGCTATGAACAGGCTGACCTCAGACTCATGCCTTACTTTCCCAAGTACTGGGATCACAGGCGTGTTTGATGTATGTTGTTTTTATTTAGATTATTTACCTGTTCTGGTCCATTAGAGTAAGTGTGGTTTATTAGTAACACACTTGCTTTAAGAACACTACAGAACCATGCATCAGCAAACTTCCAAGTTACCAGTTTTTATGGCTCCTTAAAATCTGATCCTGAGAGTTTCTTCCTAGACAGAGGTGGACTGGTGTCCTTTAACCTCTGCCTTGCAGAGGTCGGTGGCAATTGCAGACACAAAGTGACAGAGGCTGTGGATGCAGACCTGGGGCCTTGACTTGGTGTACTTGTCCAGGGTCCAGGCAGTGAGAAGCTGTGTCCTGCACTGGACTTCTTTTATTAAAGAGTTATTACTTGTGAATTGGGTTTCTGCCTGATGTGCAATGAGGAAATCAGATGGTCTAGTTAAAGGGCCCTTTTAATGTAGTGTGAGAGATGCTGCTGGATGAACCCGAGCACTGTGGTGCTGAGGCGGGGCACCTAAACCGCTCCAGGGGTGGTTTTCTTTTTAATTTCCTGTTCACTTTTTTCTCTTCACTCTCCCACCCCAAAGCATCTTACTCTTAGCCCAGGCTAGCCTAGAACTCATAGCCCAGACCAACTCACATTGCACTGGTCTCCTGCTTCATCTTCCCAAATGCTGGGATTCCAGGCGTGAGCCTCCGCTGGCCTGGTAATGATTTTTTCTTTGATTAGATTTGGGTGGTAGCGTAGTGTTGGAGACAGCATGCTGTAATTTTGAAGCCTGGGTTTATTCTCCGTGTTGGGGTGGGGAGGGCAGTGGGATTGCTTATAAAAGGCCCTGCCAAGGCTCAGGCTTGTAGAAAATGGTGGTGATGCTCTTGTGTAGCCCGTCCCTGCCCGTTATATCATTTGAAAGGTGAACATCAAGGTTTTGCCCCTCCTGAAGGCTGGGAGTGGTGTAGACATAAATGTGTACAATCCCCTCCCTGTCCCTGCCCTTCAGTTCAGTCCTGCTACCAGTGATGAGCCACCTCCTCCAACGCCCAACTACTGCTTTTAGAGTTGCCTGTGCCCGTGGCACTTTGAGTCCCGAGAGTGTCACAGCTGAGTCATTACTCACTGTGTGTGGCGTCTGCCATCTCCCATTTGCCATGCACTTGATACTAAAACTTTGAGAACAGGAATTTGTGTCATTTTAGAGTGTAAGAGATTTTATTCCGGGCATTTATTTGCTTATTTGTTTAGAGACAGTTTCTCTGTGTAGTATGGGCTAGCCCCAAACTCAGAAATCCACCTGCCTCTGCCTCCCAATTGCTGGGATTAAAAGCGTGCACCACCACAGCCCAGCATGAGTACACAGTTTTGTTTTTTTGTGGGTTTTTTTTTATGCAAACAGTGAACCCTAAAGTGCTGTCTGTGCAAGAGATGTCTCAGTGAAAATACAGCCTAGCTCAGGGCAACTCTGGTTTTCCCTGTCCTGGTGTGGCCTAGCAAAGAGAACCAGTCTTTGCTGACAAGCCCAGCTTCAACAGTGGCTAAAATAAATAAGGGGGCCATCTGTGCTCAGGGGAAATCCATGTGACCTACAGGGCCTCTTTGGAAAGGCCTTGCACAATTAAATACCCCCGAGGCTTTGCCAGGAAACAGCAGCTGGAGGGCGGGCAAGGTTGTAAGCAAAAAGGAGATGCACCCAGGCGTGGGGTGGGACTGTACTGCACAAGCCAGAGCTGAGTCAGCAGAGCCTTGGGATAGAGCTCAACTGGACAGGCCAGAGTCTAATCTGGGAAGCCTGGGGTTGCCATGGTTTCCATCCTGATGTCGTTAGGATAGCCAACAGTCACTGGCTAGAGTTTTTCTAATACTCTTGAACTTGCCTAGATTCTGGGGTGTGACCAGCTCTCCAAGTAGAAAGAAGACACCTACCTCTCAGGCCTTTCTCACCAAGCAGCCTTCAAGGAATGTGCTGCTGGACATGGGGTTCACAGAGGGGGGCTTCTCCCTGCTATTGCTTTCTAGAAAGGGGGGAGAGGGATGTGGCATCATGCAAGGTCTGGAGTCTACATATTAAAATAGTTCAAATGCACTGGGCCCAGAGACGGGGGTGGGGTGCTGGAAGGAAACAGGGTGACAGGGCTGAGGGTTTTCTGGGTGACAGATTAATCTGGAGAAGTTAAGATTGGTATCAGGGAAAGAGAGATCCTTCCTTGAGTGTTGGGATAGCAGCTAAGCAGTGAGGCCACGTGGTGGAGGGTCCAGCAACGTATGAACTCAGTCCCAGCGAAGCCTGGATTTCCACCTTGCATTCATTCAGAAACTGGAGAGTCTGTTCCTTTGTCTACAAAGAAGGGTTGAGGGAATGGAGTGAGGAGAAGCCAGTCCCAGAGAGCCCGCCAGTGCATCAGGCCGGAAAGTGTCCTCATGGTTGACTTTAGTGGATCAAGAGTTTAGAGATCAGGTGGCGCACGCCTTCAATCCCAGCACTCTTGAGTTCGAGGCCAGCCTGGTCTATGGAGCAAATTCCAGGACAGCCAAGAAACCCTGCCTCAAAACAAAACAAAACAAAACAAAAAAACAAAAAAAAGAAACCAGGAAAGGGCAGGCTTCTCTCTTCATCCACTCCCGTTACTGACTTGGCTCTCAGCAGAGGGGCGTGTGCAGCCACCACAGGACCAAACCTCGTGCTTCGAGAACCTGCAATTCCTGAGTGCTCTGATTAACAGGTGTGACCCAGTACCCTCAGTTATGGAGGGAGCTTGTAACAGCCTGGATTGTGTAGGCAAAGAGCTCTCTGTATGCTGGCTGATATCAGTAAGTGCCTCTGGCTTTGTAAGCAACATTTTCCTTGTCCAGGATAGGAGCAGTGGCTGTCACCCGGAATGTCAGTGGGAAAGGTTTGGTTCCTGTCTGAAAATTTCAGTAACTCAGTAGTTTAGTTTGCTTTTGCTTTTCCTGTTGTTTGTGTTGTTGAGATGGGGCCTCATGTAGTCTAGATGGGCCTAGAATTCACTCTGTAGTTAAGGCTGACCTTGATCTTCCAGCCTCACCTCCCAAGTTGTGAGTCACCTGATGGGTGCCGAGAACAGATCTTAGGTCTTCTGGTCCTCGCAGGTGCTCTTTCTCCAGCCGCGCCATGCATCTCTCCAGCCGCCCCATGCATCTCTCCAGCCGCGCCATGCATTTCTCCAGCCGCGCCATGCCCATTGGGGAAGGACCTTGGTTGACCTGGAAGTCCATGTGTAAACCAGGCTGCCCTCAACCTCATGGAGATCTGCCTGCCTCTGTCTCCTGGTTTTCCTTCCAGTGAGCTCCTAGGGCTGATGGAGAAACCAAAACACAAGTAGATTAAGGTAAATTTGTAAATAAGTAAAAGTTTTGTTGTTTTGTTTGAGACAGGGTCTTACTATGTAACAGCTCTGACTAGCCTAGAACTCTATTAGTTAAAGAATATTAAAGTCCTGTATCACCACAAACAGAAAAGTATTATTATATTTTAAAATTTTTCTACAAGGGCTGGCTAGGTGGCTCAGCAGGCAAGGGGGCTGACACTGACCTGGTGGCCTGGGTTCCGTTGTCTCTGGGATCTGCGTGGTAGGAGATAATGGCTCCTGGAAGAGGCATTGTGGCCTGGTACGTGGGTATGCTGGCACAGATGTGTGTACACACATACATACACATGATACACAAACATAGAAACAGTTTTCTGAGCCAGGCCTAGTAGCACCCACCTTTGATCCCAGCTCGTGGAAACAGGCAGGTGGTCTCTTGTGAATTAGAGTTCAACATGATCTACATAGAGTTCTAGGCCAGCCAGAGCTGTTACACAGTGAGACCCTGTCTCAAAATATTTTTTTTTTTTTTGTTTTAATTATTTGCAAGATGACCTTAACCTATTTTTAGGCTTGTGGTTCCCTAGAGCTCTGTGCGTGAGCACCAAGAGCCCACTAGAAGGAAAGCCATGGTGGTCATATCAGTTAGTCCCAGCACTGGGGGCAGAGGCAGAAGGACCACAGACTTAGACCCTACCTAAGCTATGTAGTGTGGCCCATCAAAGTAAAATAGCTGGGCGAGGTAGCACAGGGCTTGGGGTAGGGGCAAAGTGGGTGGACCAGTGAGTTCCAGGCCAGCCAGGGCTAGAGAGAGAGAGAGAGAGGGAGAGAGAGAGAGAGAGGGAGATCCAAGGCGTGGACACCCTCTTTTGGCAGCCTCTGTTTGCACACGACCACTCAATATCAGGATAAGGAGTACAGGCCCTTAGGGACAAGGACCCCTTTTCTGGCTTTACTCTTCCCCTGTCCCTGCTCCATGCGTCTCCTTGAGGTCCCTAGTACAGTGACCAACCCACCTCTACTTGGAAATGGAAAGTTATGTTTGGGAAGGATTGGAAGAGCTGGTCATCGTAGCTCAGCCACAAGGTATGTCGCTGTCTCGGGTCCTCTGGCCATGGTGCTGTCAGCCCATAAGCATGGCCAGAGAGAGATCCCTCAGCATCCCAGGCCCTGCTGAAGTCTCCTGGAGAGAGGACAAGTCCGAAATAGCATACCCTGCCCCCTTTCTCAAGGCTAAGTGAGCATGGCAGAGCATCCTGCGTGGGAGGCCTCCCTGGACAGACACCCACTGCAGGGCCAAGCCAGACCAAACTACAGGCTGCCTCTGGCCAGCAGGAAGGCCTGGCCTGGGTCAGA